TAGTAAATGCTTTAGAATTATTCTTTTTATTTATATGTATATAGTTCATAAAAATCAGGTTATTTTTTATAAATAGTTATTGTATATTAAATTTTTCATATGTAGAGTATGATATTAATCTTACCAAGGCTTTTAAATATTTTTATAATTAAAATGCATTAATGATTGTACTAAAATATTTTTCAAACATAAAAAATAATATTGTGAGATCTAGGTGATGTTGTGATGTTGTATACAATTATTAATGTAGTGGGATTTTGGTAGCCATCAGATTGGTTTCAATCACTCTTATATAGGAGTTAAGGTTTTTAGGCTAATCAAATATGTATATTTTTATATTGCATTTTCATATTCTATGCATTCATATTGGTGGAGTTGAGGGGCAATTTTGATTTATTTTAAGGAGTATTTAGATTTTTTTTTTGTTTAAATTTAGCTTTTACATTATCTAGATCTCTCTCATTCATGAGGTTTATTAATTTCTTCTCTTTTCCTTTGATTTTGTTTATTTATCTTAATGGCAAAGTAATAGCCTCCTTTATAAGCTTTTAAATTTGAATTTTCTGGGAAGTCACCTAATTTAGTATTATTCAAAACTAAGAACACTTAACTTCAACTATCCCAAGACCCTTAACCAATTAGAAAAGAGGGTGCACTCTTGTTCATAAACCTTTTCTTTATAAATCATCTCTCTTATTATTCCCTTTGTTTGATTATAATTTATTATGCTTTTTTGCAAGTTCACACCCTTGTGAATGGAAATTAAGAGTTGCAACCCTGCTAAAAACCTCACTCTTTTGACACCCTACCCCTTCGGTTGATCTCAGTGGAGCATACTAAACTTGCAAAATATCAATCAACATGTGGTGTGATTCCTCTAAGCTAATCAATAAAGTCAAACCTAAGACCTTTTTAATACAAATGTAAGCTCATGAATTTAGACTTCCCAAAAGATACTCAACCTAGTACTATTCTAACCTAAGGATGTTTAACCCCTTTAATGATTGGATAAGGGAATATACTTTTGTTCATAGGCCCTTTCCTTCTATATTTGAACCCTTATAGATTGTTTCATGAGTTATTCCCTTTAGTTACTTATATTTTCTTCTTTTGACTTTGGAATAATAATTGGTGTAATTACTTGATGCTATGTAATTGCAATTGAAAAACCAGATTCAGTTGATGGCGACATTCATAAAATGTGGTGCAACTCCTTTTGCTCTTTGTGTCAATCCTCACATCAAATTAGATTCTTTTTATAAGAATTTTGGGGATGATGTGTACTATTTATTCATCACTTTATAGTTTATCATTTTTGGGATGATGCCCAGGGTTTGTGTAAGTTTTTAACATTTCTCCAAAGGACAATATTGCAATGGTACAATGGTTTGAATATAGCCACTCATGTGGATTGAAGCCTTCTCCAAAATGTCCTTAAACACTTATTTGGACATACTAATGATTGCAACAATGCCTTCTAACAATTGTATTATGTCTAGCAAAGATCATTTGAGTTAATGATGCAATTTGATATTTGTTTTCAAAGCTTTTTATTTTGTGCAGAGCCAAATATATTAAAGCAGATCAAGTTGGGAATATTATGGCTAGTGCTTCATCAAGATCTTATGGGACTCAAGCATACACTACTCTAACATTAATACCTATTAATATATCACTATAAGACATCACTTTTCCCACTTATCATTGCACACACTTCAACTCATTATCGCCCATATTTAAGGATAAGGGTGAAAATATAGATATGGTTGTAATATTCATTCCCAAGCTTGTGATAAAGTTGGCGTTCTCAACATTTTTTAGATTAGCATTCTCCATTTCGTAGGTAGAAGCCTTGTTGTCAACTTCGTCATGTTAGTCCTACTACAATGAAAGGATTTGATGTAAAGATTGTTTTAGGAAATGAGAAGTTGTATGAGTAGTGTTGCATGAATAAAATAGTGACCCTTTCATATTTTTTTTGGAAGTATTATCAAAAGGTTCATTGGGCACTAATTCATATAGTGTTTACTTTCTAAGTTTATTTTTATAATAAAAGGTCTTATGTTATTTTTTTTATGTTGGTTGATACAAGATCAAGTTTATCTACTTTTTCTCAGCTTATGCCACACATTATTATCTACAATTATATTATATGGCAAAGTCAATTTTCATTTGTTATGGCAATCGCCGTACACATTCATATACATAGGATAAGGTGGATATAGTTGTATCTATAGGCAATCTTGAGCTTGAGTTTTAATTATTGTGGGTGGTGCTAAGTCAAACTTTTGACCTTATCCTTGATATGGATTAATTGTAATGTAATTATGCCAAATGTAACTTTAAAGTTTCTCCCCTTTGTTTTATACTTTTTTATCCTTCTTCCATTCCTTTTATTTTTGTTCTATTTCATTTCTCAACTTTTACTTGTGCTTCCATCACTTTTGTCTTTATATTACTTCCTACTATATTTTTGTTTTGCTACTTTATTCCCTCTTCAGATCCCTTTGACAACCTTTATACTGCAATAGTTGATCAACTTAAGGAGTATATTGATTTATTTGACTTTGACCTATCGTTTTTTACTATGTGCCATTCTATTCCAATTGGAGATAGTCATCTAATCAATGTTTTTGTTCAATGTCGATCACCCAAGAATATCAAGATTTCAATTATAAATGTTATGGAGATGTTTGAGAAGGGTGTTATCCAAAACTTGTGGAGTTCTTAGGTGAATAAACCTCATTTTATGACAAAATTTGATAAGAGTATTTATTTTTATATTGACTATCATTTATTAAGTGAGGTAACTATCCCAGATATGTATTCTCTTTGTCATATTGTTGATCTTTTGGATTGTTTAGAAAGAAGTCATTGGTTTATTAAGTTAGATCTTGCTTCTGGGTACAAGCGAGTGCTAATGGCTAAATAAGATGTTCCCAAGATTGTTTTTTATACACCATTTGGAGTTTTTGGTGATGTCATTTAGTTTAAATAATGTTCTAATGACTCTCCAGTAGATGATGGATGAGGCTTTTTATGATATATTGGAAGTGACTTCTAACTTTGTTCATAATGTCTTAACCCACTTAGAAGGGACATGGGAAGAGCATGTCCATGATATTGACAAAGTTTTGGATCGGCTACAGGAAGTGAGTTTAAAGGTAAAGCAATCAAAATATGTGTTTAAGTCTAGATTTTACAAAATCTAATATAATGGTGTGGTGGTGTGAATAAATTACCATTAAATTTACTAATTTAATGGTGGGTGTGAAAGCCCTCTAACTCTTAAATGGTATTTAGGTTTTAGATTTTAGAATTTCAACACTATGCTATAATTATAATTTTTATAGCCTAAACTGCTAAATAGCATGTTTAACCAATAACTATCCATGCCTTTTCTTCTTTCTGTTTATTTTATGAATTTATTTCTAAAGAAATGCCTAATGCATGCTAAATATCTCTAAAAAAAATTAAATGTTGGTATTTATGCTTTATCAAAGCTTAATGAAATTGAAATTTTTAAAGATTCTCTGATAGCAACTTGTTATCAAGGAATTTTGAAAAATATGTAACTGCATCAAATTCAAATCAAAATTATATCTACAATTTTTTTTTCAAATGGCATATTTCTGTATATCATTAGCAATTACCAATTATTTATAATACATTTTACCCTTTCAACTTCTCTTTTATCCCTTTATGTTAGCTTGTTAAGTTGCAGGTGGGAGTTGAGGCGCCAAGCCCCCTATATGCACATTAAACAAGCAATTCACTGTAGTATCAAATATATATATTTGCATACTGCAGACCTCTAGAGTTTCTGTTTCATGGCTTGTCCATGCTTGGCTTACTCCAGTAATTTTAATTGATGTAAAGTAAGCTTGTTCATTGTTGTATCATGATAAGTCCAACTTTATGCTCCTAGCCGTCTTGTTCTTAGATTCAAAATAGCAAATAAATTACAATGTAATTATGAGGTATAAATTCAGATGTGTTAGTAAAACCTTCTCAGTTTGTCTACCGCCTACACAAACAGAGCTATCTTTGATTCATGCGTGTTGCTACTAGTGAATACTGCAAGCAACAAACAGTTCGCAAAGTGTTGATGTAGACTATCTGCAAGCTTCAAGACAGATCTGCGTCAGCAATTTTAAACAAGCAGTGCAGCAGAGTTGATTTCTGAACCACCATCTGGGCCAGATGGCTGTTAACGTGTCCTGTCCGTGCAATCAGGAGCGTCCACTTCGAAGGAGGGCGGCATTCACATGTTTTCATATGATCACTTTCTTTGTCAATTTCTACGTTGAGATTGCACCATCAAAGCATAGTCACCTAAACATCCATTTCTTTCGACCTTTCCATGTCACTCTTGTGTACACGAGCTCGTTCGTACTCAGTATTTTTATGTTTTATATTTTGAAAAGCCACCGTTGTTCTGATTGTCGCGTCACGAGTGCCAGTTTGAAGGACGCAACATCAACACCTTGGTGGCACAAGTGACTCGTGGCAATATGACAAAAAGTACACATTAGCTGCCACCGCCCTAGCTCAGCCTGCAGAAAACAAAGAAGTACTCAAGGGAAGGGTTACAGGTTTTCCAAATTTTGTTTTGTTGTGAGCTTGTTTCCTAGCGATAAGGTGCATAAACAGTAAAAGGAATGTCCGTACAATCGGCTAATCAAGTGAACTCGAATTAATTTCTATGTAAACTCTCTTATTTAAAAAGACCTTCTGGACCACCGCGTAAACTCGAAGACAAGACTGTGAAAATCACTACCAGTGGTACGAAAGGCTCTTGCTGAAAATGCGTACGTGCTCAAACCAGCTGGCTTTGTGAGCATACCCAAGATCATATTCGCTCAGAAGTACCTGAATGATATGTCCAGGAAATTGGAGTTATAGATGAGCTGTCATATTTTTGCTCAGATATTAAAATGTTTTTAGCATTATCGATGATCATAATCAGCATGTATGCTTATAAGGTTGCCTTTGTTTGCTCTTATATGCAGGGTAACGAGTAGTTATAGCTATTGCATGCAAAAGTGTCTAGAATCTAGTGTGTATTTGCTGTAGTAGCTATGGCTTCTGTTCTTCGACAGATGACTATGGGCGAAGCTAGCTTCCTTTCGCTGCTGACAGACTTCATCGGCAAGACGGAGAAGCTTCAAAACAATCCTCCAAATCTGATACCACAGGAATCGCTTGTTGTGACTAAGGTGCTTGAAGTGCTGGGACCTTATAGCATCGACAATGGTGGACCTTTGCTCCTCAAACCAATCTATTTTCAAGGCCTTCAAAATAGGAAGAACCTCATTGTCACATATCCTGGTGAAGAGCAAGATAGAATAGTCTCCATTGTTGGCTGTCATATGGACGTGGTAGTGGCTGATCCGACCAAATGGGTAACTACTGCTCTTGCCTCTTGCAAATTGAGCTGATTACTATCTGATAGCTGTTTTGTTTTCTTCAGGAACATTCGCCGTTTAAGTTAACCCAGCTTGAAGATGGTGATACGCTCTATGGACGAGGCACTACAGATTGCCTCGGACATGTTGCATTAGTGACGCAGCTGTTGAAGCAGATGGCAGAAGCAAAGTTGAGGCTCAAAACAACTGTGGCAGCTGTGTTCATTGCAAACGAAGAGAATGCCACAGTCCTGGGCATTGGGGCTGATGCACTGATGGATGCACATGAACTCGATTTCCTCAAAAATGGTCCTTTGTAAGTTCGAGGCTCTAGCCAATTGATTGAGCTTGCATACATGGTATTTTCGTTTTGTTTCTGCAGATATTGGATGGATTCCTCCGACAAACAGCCTTGCATTGGAACCGGTGGAATGCTTGCTTGGCATCTCACAGCTCATGGAAAACTTTCCCACAGTGGTCTACCAAAGCAGGTACATTTGTACAGTACAGGAAAGTAATCCTCACCGTATCTAAAGCTCTTGGCAATGTGTTGCAGGGAATCAATGCAATTGAGCTTGCTTCTGAGGGACTGAAAGAAATTCAGGATCGTTTCTATAACGATTTTCCAAAGGTTGTTCCAGATGAAGATAACTACAAGTTCGACACCCCCTCAACAATGAAGCCTACACAATGGACATGTAAGCATTGACAGCAAGCAGATTGTGGACTCTTAAGCTTGTTAAATTCTTCTTTGCAAGAAGACCCCGGGAGTGCAATTAATCAAATCCCAGACACTTGCACCATTTCTGGAGATTGCAGGTATTTGATTGAATTTTGGATTTCGAATTAAAATATGTTGCTCCTCGCATTGTGAATTATGTTGCAGGATAACGCCTTTCTACAAGTACTCTATCTTGAGATCTAGAACCCTTTGCTGAAACGTGTGCGCAGGGTGGACGAAGTTGAAAAGAAACTCGTGCAGTACGTGGACTATATAAACCAAAACATAGAAAAACTGGAGACTCGTGGACCGGCGTCTAAATATGTGTTACCGGATGGCACCAGAGGAAAGTAAGGAGCATAGAAATGTTGCTAAAGCCTCCCTTGAGTTTCCATTTTCCAGATTGGAGATAACATTTGATGCGGAAAAGATGCAAGGCATTGCCTGTCACATGGACTCAAAGGGATATAAAGCCTTAGCTAAAGCCACTGAGGAGGTTCTGGGACATGTTGAGCCGTTCTCAATTACTGGATCACTTCCAATCGTTGGTGATCTGCAGGTACCTTTCATTTGTTCTATTTCTATCCTACTGAGAGCAAGTTCAATTATCACCAGGACCAAGGATATGACGTGCAAACCATAGGCTATGGTAAAATGACATTATCTCTTTATTGAAGTGCTAATATTTATTTAAGTGAATGATGCAGGTTTAACATCAGCATATCATGCAGACAACGAGATTTGCCTGCTGTCGGACATGTCCCAAGGCTTCAAAATCTTTGCCATATTGATAGCAGACTTGGATAATTCATTATAAGAAAGATGATGCAGTTCAAATACGTTCTAATCAATGCACTTCAACTTGACCGACGCTTGAGTGATCAGGAGGCCGGTCAAAGACTGCAAGCCAAGTGATTGGCCCCTTTGAGTCAGTTGTATTTGCTGTTATATTGTTCGTACTTGATATTATATATTGAATGTGAAAAGTATTTTATTATAATTTTGAAATAATTTTCTAGATGAAAACACTAAAGCGGAGAAGTATTTGGATGGGATGGCCTAGCGGCACGTGAAGCTCACACCCGTGGTGCTTTGGCTCGTTCCAAGCACTAGCGATTTAAATTGAAGCATTCGGGAGAAATGTCTCCTCGCGTCCCTGTTTGTCAGGGATTTAGGTGAGGAAAAGATTGAAATGGGACTCTAAGAGCCAAGTAATGAAAGTCAATAAAACTGACAGTCTTCAAAAGCTCCATGCTCAATAATCCTGATCCAAATTGCATTCTTACATCCATGATTCATAAAAGCACAAATATTTCTCTTGAAATGAAACTACGCCAACCTTTGTCTCTTATTGGTACCGGAATCGGATAGACATTTGAAGAACCTCTTCCAGCCAACGTAAACTCCCTCGATGATAAGTGCCGTGAGATGCCGAGGCACCTCCAGCTTACACTTTGCGCTTTCCATCGTGACAATCGGTCGGCCATCTCCATCCAACTCGATTCCCTGCTGGGATTGCGCCTTGTGGAAACACTCGTAGTAGTAAATCGGACTGATATATGGTGGAAGACCGTAATCAACGTCGCGATCCACGAACAAAACATTTGGGAAGGGCATCACGCTCCTGAGTAGAACAGCCAGAAGAATCCTCCCACACCTCCCATTACCATCGAGAAAAGGATGTATGTTCTCAAACTCGAGGAAAAATGATCCCCCGAGCTTGAGCACAGCTTCGATCTGCGCCTTGGCCGGTTCCAAGCGAGAAATCTCTGAAAGGGCCGACTTGGTTTTGGTGAAGAGCTCGTCCAGGGAAGCACGCACCAAAGTTGGCCAGGTAAAGACATGCACGCCAACTTCCGTATTTGTGAACACGACTTCCTTCTCTAAGCCCCGAATCCGGCCCGCGATCTCTGCATTTGTTGAAGCGAGCAATTCGGCGTGGCACTTCTCCAGTTCTTGGATGGAAAACTCGGGCTGTGACTGCCCATCATCGACCCAATAGTGTTTTAAGGCCTTGTAAAGGCAGCGAACGCTTTCCAGCCTCGAATCCTCCTGCTTTTCACGCAATTCTAGAGCACCCTTTTCGATCGCTTGCACGGTTTCATCGTAAGTGTCAAAGCCTTCCTTTTCAATCTTGTTAACTTGGAAGAGAAACTCTCCGAGAGCAACTCGTGTGTGTTCCGTCCTAGCAGAAGTCTTCTCCTCTGGGGAGAGTTTCTCATACCTGGAACAAAAATCCACAATCCTGTCGAGCATCTCGCTGGTGCTCAAATCGCTCCTCCTCCACTTTGGTCTCTCCTTGACGACGAAATCCATCACTGGATACAAAAAACCCTATACTCGACTGCAACAAAACCATTTTTCTAAAAACCTTTTTAGCAGAAAGGGGAGAAAAAAAAAAACGATGATCGTCAGTTCACGCGCTGTACCGCAGAATCGATTTGTTTAACGTGCTCTTGGAGAACATTCCACTGATCCATGGTGAGAGAGATTCCTGGAATAATCAACAAAGCAACCATTGATCAGTGTACGGGTGTGGAGTTGAAAACCAACCTTTCTTCCCTGGCAAGCACTCGCCTCCTTTGTACCAATACTCTCGAATGTCTACCAAGACTTGCCCCCTCCATTTGCGCACCGAGACCTTGCGATTCTTTGATATCTACGAGCTCCAAGAGATTAGGGCTACCCCGGATTCGATTATCCCATCATACCTCGCACACCGCCACGCTCTCCTCGTCCTCTTTCTCGTCTGCTTTGCTCCCGCGCTTCCTCTTGCTCGCCATTACCAAAAAACAAAAGATTCTTTAGGGCTCTTCCAGATTCGATTATTAATCTTTGTTGATCAAAAGATTGAGAAAAGAAGAGGTTAGGGGCATTTTTGCCAGTATCCAGCAACTTGGCTGGCCGTAAACCTTGACACCATGACTTGATCCCTGGGAGGCATGTTGCAAGGTTGTCCTGCTGTGACATTTCCAAAGTTTTCACCTGGATTCGGCCGCCATGGCTGGACGCCTTTGGGAACCTCCGGCTTGAACCTTTGCAACTTTGCGTACGCTTGCATGACATGCAGCATGTACGAGTAGACGTGATCCATGGTTAGCTGCTCCTTGAGAAAGGCTTGCCCGCGTTTTCCAATAGCAGAAGCCTTTGAAGATTTGGAAGAAAAGTTTAGGCAAGGAAAACCAAATGGAAGAATGAGATTTACCTCAAATGGATGTGCGTTTCCCCAGTCCACAGCATGCTTAATGGATGAACACATGTTTTCTCTGCTGATTGGCCAGTACTCCACATAAGGTAGCCAGGATCTAGCGAAAAACTCCCAGAAATCGGGCTGAATGTGGAGAATTGTGGAGCCACAAGATATCAAGTATTTGAGGCTAGCTGACCACCCTCGTCCTTCAGCATAAACCTTGTATCTACGCCACAAATATCAAGAAAAAACACACACAAAGTTTACAATCTTTATCCATCACTTCTCATTTTAAGTCCATTTCATTACCGGGTGTGACATTGCTTTGATAGCGACGATGTCTTGAATCCCTCGGCTTCCTCTTTTGCCCAATCCTGGGAATTAAAAAAAAATGTAAGAACTTCATCACCATTTGCGTGGATTCTTACCAAATAATAGACGACAACGTTGTATTGCGTGTTGTTGCATTGAAGCAACTCCTCGCGAACCGGTGTCATCACCCAAAGATTTCCCTTCCAGTAGGCAATCGCCTCCCTCTCAAACCAATCCGTTTCATTCGCTCCATCGAAAATCTCCACACTTTCTTGCTCCCAGGGACGAATCTTGACTTGTGGCCTATGAAAGAAAATTCACAAAGTTTTGGCGATCAAACTCTCGAAAAAACAGCGAAAAGAAGAAGCTCAGGGACGATGGTGCTCGCTTACCATCCCCAGAAAGACCAATCTGGGAAGAGTATATCAAAATGCCCCCCGAATCTGGACGTGCAATAGGAGAAGACTGGCGGCGGCGGCTTTGACCGATACTCGTCCTTGGGAACTTGAGGGAAATCATTGCAAACAAACACCATCTCCATGTCCGGAATCATCCCGGGGAATTTCTCCAGCAGCAAGAGCAATCCTTGGAGAGTGATCTCGTCCCGGGTCTGGATGCATTCCTGGATCCGCTCAAAGTAGAGCTTACCATCGACGATAACCAGCCGAAAATCGCCTTTTCGCCGGGCCTCGTCCAGGTGCTCGCGAGTGATCCCACTCTCGCTCCAGGGAGCCAGATCTTCGTGGATCCATGCGAAGTAAGATGGGCAATTGGGCTCCTGCTGCTGGCGATGGATCGTCCCCATGTGGTCCTCCTCATGCTCGACTACCGCGAGAGGATCAACTCGTTGGTCCTCCTGGATCACCGGGAAGCATCACCGTGAGTGTAAGATCGAGACTAAACTTACACTTGCCGATCGATCGACCGATTGGAGCTAGATGGATAATTTACTGTTTGCTTACTCTGAAAAAGAAGAACAGGGAAACGAGGAGTAGAAACGCCATGGCTGCTCCCAGCACCCTGTTGCGGAAGAGATCTCCATAAAACATGGAATCGAGTGAGAGATGGATGGATCGAAGATAGATCGATGGATCGCTCGATCGAGCTGGACTCCACTCCACTCTCTCTACCAGACCAGAAAGAGAAAAGAAGAATCTTTCCACCGGTATAACGACACGTACTCGAAACCGGTGACTTTTTACATTGACTCGTTCAACGGTAGGCTAATGGACGGTCCAATAAACGTGGACCATGGATTCCCATGAATGCCCAAGAATCTTCGCATATGCCAAGAGCCTGTGGTATATTCCATATGCAAGCTTGTTTTGATGCGAACTTTTGCGCGTCACTGATCAAATCATGCAAGACTCTGGGCGATGTCGAGTCCGCCCACGCTCGGCTTCTCTCCAATCCACATCTTCTTCCCTCTTCCGGAGTGTTCCTCCTCAATCTCCTCGTCCAAATGTATGCCAAGTGTGGCAGCCTTGCCAAGGCCGAGGAGGTCTTCGCCTCGATCCCTCACAAGAACACTTACTCGTGGGTTCTCATGCTCTGCGCGTATGCCGACCATGGACGCTTCCATGAGGCCAACGATATCTTTGAGAAGATGCCCGAGTGGAACGTTGTGGCCTTCACCGCTATCCTTGACGCAAATACCAAGTCTGGGCATTTGGAGGGTGCTAGAAAGATACTCAATGAGATGCCGGAGAGAAATCTCGTGTCATGGACAGCAATGCTGTCGGCTTACGTACAAGCAGGCCAGTTTGAGCAGGCAAAAATTGTATTCCTTGCAATGCCAGAGTGGGATCTTATGTCAAGAAACGCAATGCTGTCGGCATATGCCAGAAATGGGCATTTGGAAGAGGCCAAGCGACTGTTTGATTCCATGCAGCAGCGCGACATGGTGACGTGGGCGGCAATGCTGTCGGCCTACACGGAGACAGGGCATCTGGCGGCGGCAAAATATACGTTTGATTCTATGCCGGAGCATAATCTAGTCTCAAAGACATCGATGGTCGGAGCATATTCCCAGAACGGGCAAATGGAGCTCGCCAAGCAAGTGTTTGATTCAACCCCAGAGCTCGACGTCTTCTCTTGGAACGCAATGCTCTCGGCCTTTGCAAACAATGGCTACCTCCGGGAGGCTAAAGAATTCCTGGACGAGATTCCGGAATGGAATGTGGTTTCCTGGAACGCTTTGCTTTCGGCATTTGCTCAAAGGGGTCGCTTAGATCACGCAAGGGATCTCTTCGACTGGATGCCGGAGCGCGATCGCATCTCCTGGTCTTTGATGCTGGCGGCACTCCTGCAAAGAGGGCTCCTCCGCGAAGCCAGAGCTCTTCTCGATCGGATGCCCGAGTGGAGCGCCATGGTCTGGACGGCGATGCTCACCGCCTTCTCGGAGCACGGGCATCTAGATCAAGCCAGGAAGATCTTCGACGAGATTCCAGAGAATAATCTCGTATGTTGTACGGCAATGTTGGCGGCGTACGCCGAGAACTCGCTGCTGGAACACGCCAAGGAGATATTCGATGGCATGGCGGAGAGGAATCTAATCTCCTGGAACGCCATGGTCACGGCATATTCCCAGAACGGCCACCCTCGCGAGGCCAAGCGGCTCTTCGACTCCATGCCCGCTTGGGACCTCGTCTCGTGGACCGCCCTGTTGACCGCCTACACGCACGGCTTCCACGTGGACGAGGCCAAGTCCACGTTTGACCGGATGCCGTACAGGGACGTGGTGGCGTGGAACGCGCTGTTGACCGCATACGTGCAGGGCGGCCACGTACGGCAGGCGCGGAGCCTGTTTGACGCGATGCTCCAGCGCTCGCAAGTGTCGTGGAATCTTATAGTGCACGGATATGCCCAGGCCGGGCATATGCTGGGAGCCCGGGCTCTCTTTGACGGTATGCCCGAGAGGGAGATCCCGGCGTGGACGGCCACGATTGCGGGATATGCTCAGTCCGGGCATCCCACGGAAGCGCTGGAGCTCTTCTGCGAGCTACACTTGGAAGGGATCAAAGCGGCAGAGGCGTCGTTCACGTCGGCTTTGATCTCTTGCAGCCATGGCGGGGATTTGCGCTCGGCCTGCCGATGGTTTGCGTCGATGAGCTTGGACTTTGGATTGACACCCATGAAGCAGCAGTTCAGCTGCATGGCGGATTTGCTGGGCCGAGCCGGGCATGCCCGAGATGCCCAAGAGCTCATGGAGACGATGCCTTTCCAGCCCGACTTCCAGGCCTGGCTGTCGCTGCTCGGGGCCTCGTTCCGGGGCCCGGGCGATGCCGAGTGCGGAGCTCGGGCAGCCGAGGCAGCGGTGGAGCTCAACCCTCACGTCGCTGCTCCATACGTACTCGTCACGAATGCGATGCGCTATTGTTAAATGCCACACTTCTCAAGCAACGACAACGGAGGATAGAACTGACCATCTCGCGGAGGGTAATTCCAAAAACTCCGTATGGTTGACAAGCTTTCGTGGAAAACACGTGAGCCTTTAAGAGAGTCTGCACCATTTGGAAAAAGTTGTGGCTATGGAGGTCCCCGGAAGCTATGGTGTGCCATGGCTGAGTGCTATCAAAGACAAGCTCGACTTCCACTACATCCAGGGCGAGGTGGAGTTTTTCAAGAGCCGCGTAAAGAAATACAAGAGCACCGTGCTCAAGGTAAACTTCATCCCCACTCCTCCGGGATTTCCAAACCCCGCGGGGATCGCCCTCCTCGACCAGAGATCCTTCCCAGTTCTCTTCGACAACTCCAAAGTCGAGAAGCGCGACGTCTTCGTTGGCTCCTACAAGCCATCCGATGCCTTCACCGGCGGCGTTAGAACGCTGGCGTACCTCGACACCGAGGAGGAGAAGCACGCCCGTCTCAAGGAATTCGTGTTCCAGATCCTCAAGAGCACCGGCCCGAGGTTCCTGTCCGAGTTTGAGGCCGAGATGGCCAGCGCTCTCGCCGGGGTGGAGGCCGAGATGGAGTCCGGGACGAAGAACTCCATCGCCGTGAGCTCCAAGCTCCTGGATCTGGCGTTTAACTTCATGGTCAAGGCGGTCACCGGCGGCGCTGACCCATCCAGTCAATTCGGGTCATACGGCCCCCTGCTAATGCAGCTATGGATTGGCGTCCAATTCGCGCCAATCTCGCCACGCACGCAACTCCCCGCCGTGATCGAGGAGCTCCTCCTCCGCAGCTTTCCACTGCCGCCACTGATCGTCCGGTGGCCCTACGATCGCATCGCCGGATTCCTCAGCGACAACGCCACCGCGCTGATCGACATGGGCGAGAAGCAATTCGGGCTGGATCGCGAGGAGGCGCTCCACAATCTCGTGTTCGTGGTGGGCGTGAATGGGTTCCTGGGCTTCTCGCGGATGCTCCCATCGCTGCTGTTCTACGTCGCGTCGCAGAGCGAGGCGTTCCAGCAGCGGCTGGGCGGGGAGATCCGCGGCGCGATGGGCGACGATGGTAGCGCGCGCAAGTTCATGGCCGCGGTGGAGCGAATGCCGCTGCTCAAATCGACCGTGCTGGAGGTGATGAGGATCGCGCCGCCGGTGCTCTACCAGTACGGGCGCGCGCGGCGGGAATTCGTGGTGGAGTCCGGGGATGGGAGGGAGTTTCTCATCCGCAAGGGCGAGTTGCTGGGCGGATCGCAGGCGCTGGTGTGCCGGGATCCCACAGTCTTCGATTCGCCGGACGAGTTTGTCCCGGATCGCTTCCTCGGGGCCCAAGGCCGCGAGCTGGAGCGCTGTGTGTTTTGGTCCAATGGCCGCAACACGGACTCTACGAGCTCTGCCAACAAGCAGTGTGGAGCGAAGGATTTCGTGGAGACAATCGGGCGTTTGTTCGTCGCGCAGCTCTACTTGCGGTACGAAAGCATCGAGCTGGGCCCGGATTCCAAGCCCGACTCGCCCGTGATCAAATCGCTAAGAAAGATCTCCGTGGCAACTAGAACTGGCAACAAAGTAAGTGCCTAGCTCCAAGCTGGAGTGTATAAGCTCTTCGATTGATTGATAGCTCATAACTTACTCCTGGTTCTTCACTGTGGGATTTTTCGGAATTCCGCTAGCACGGGGTAGATGTTCTCGAAAGCTTCGTAGATCTCGTCTCTTACCTGTGGAACTTTTTTCAGTATCAAACAAAGCATGAGAGAGGGATCAAACCTTTGCTCCCGTGAGCACGATTTTGCCAGAGACGAAGATGAGCAGGACGATCTTAGGCTGCTTCATTCTGTAAATGAGTCCTGGGAAGATCTCCGGCTCGTACTGCGAAACAAATGTCTTAACCAAGAGAAGAAGAAGAACAGGAGAAATGAGCATAGCTTAACTGTTGAGAAGTGGCCGTGGGAGAAGGCGAGGCCTTCGAGCCGGATTGGAAATCGGACATCGCACGATCCCACGATGTTCTGAATCTTAAAGTCCTGTACAGGAGAAAGGCTATGGAAGATACACATGATTTTGACAGGCTCTAGTACCTTGAATTGACTGGGAAAGCCAAGCTTTTGGATGATCCGAGCGTACTAGACACCATGCACACAAAACTTGCGTAAGTAGCTAAAAGTCATTGATTGCCTCTTTCAAGTAGTCTTTTTTCTCTTAGTTGGTTGAGAAACCTTTCTAGCCGCAAGCCTGCAATTTTGTTCGCTCTTGGCCCCAGTGCACACCTAGGTAGAGAACAAACAAGAAAAAAAAAAATTCTTACTGAATTAGCACTTAGTCGTCGAGGTCACGAATAAAAATCTCACCATCTTTCCGGACGCAAAGATGAGAGCCGTGGTTTTGGGTTCTCTTATACGCATGATCACAGCAGCAAAACGCTGGATAAGAGAAGAGAGAGACAAGTCATAAAACACAAGAGAAAAAAAAAGAACACAAACAAACCTTGGGATTGTACTCGGCATTCCTTGCATGCAGCGCGATCGTCTTTAGCTCGAGCTTGCAATCCATGTTCACAGTCGCGACTATGTTCCTGGATGGCGGAATCATAAAAGAAAAGAGGATAAAATAAATCCGCCAGGAAAGTCTAGAGTTCCATTTTTCCAACAAGAAGATATCACTCAACTGGAGCGTGGGAACGATCCCTGACGGATGCTTGCTCAAGTCAACAGCCACGCCGCCTTGGAATCCCAATCGCGAGAAGCCCTCCTTGCTCGAAGGCGATGGATTGTTCTCCAGTTCTTGATGAATTTGTTGCTGCGGCTGGTGCGGATAAGCCACATTCTGGCGCTGCCACGCGAAGTACTGCTGCAGCTGACTGGGATCCAGATTCGCGATCGCTGGAGCCGCGGCATACTGACCCTGGAAGAAATTTTGCTGCGCGAAGAAATCTTGCTGAGCAGCAAGATCTTGCTGCTGCTGCTGGTGTTGGAGGCGCCGATCGATCAAGGGCTGCGGCAGCGCCGGATCGCCGTGAAGAATGTGCTCCTCGGGGACGAAATCTTGGCTTTTCCCGGCGCCCGCCTCTTCACATCCCTCCATTCCAAAACAATGGACCGCTCTTCGCGAGCCCTATTAATACGTATACGTTTGGCATGAAGGAGGGACACGTGGAAGAATCTCAAAGAAACAAGCCAAGAGCTTTCCTTTTTTCTCCATTGACATTGATGAAAGAGCACAAAAAATCCCTCCTTGTTATCAAACTAATCTTTTGGCTCTATTGTTTTATACATTTACACGAGATGTTACTGCAAAAGGCCGCCCGAGAAGAAAGAGAAGAAGAGATCCAAGCGAGAGAGAGAGAGAGAGAGAGAGCGAGAGGAGAGAAAAAAAAAAACTGGAAGAACTCACAACTCCGAGTGATCATCGTCAGAGTCGTCGTCCTCGGACGATGGCGATCCCGCGGCGCCGCCGGTCTTTTGGTAGATCTGCGTGATGATCGGGTTACACACCGCCTCCACCTCCTTGAGCTTGTCATCGAAGTCCTCCTTCTCGGCGGTGTTGTTATCGTCGAGCCACTCGAGCGCCTCCTTGAGCGTCTCCTCGATCTTCTCCTTGTCCTCCTTCTCGATCTTGTCCGCCAGCTTGTCCTTGTCGTTGATCGTGTTCCTCATGTTGTAGAGGTACGTCTCCAGGCCGTTCCTCGAGTCCACCCTCTCCTTTTGCTTCTTGTCCTCCTCGGCCATCTCGTCCGCCTCGCGAACCATCCGGTCGATCTCCTCCTGGGTCAATCGCCCCTTGTCATTGGTGATGGTGATCTTCTCGGACTTGCCGGTGCCCTTGTCCTCGGCTCTGACGTTGAGGATACCATTGGCATCGATCTCAAAGGTAACTTCGATTTGAGGGACGCCACTGCAAAAAGAGAGATTGTTAAGTTGAGTTGCCTGTGGTATAAACAGCTTGAGATCTTACCGTGGAGCCGGAGGAATGCCAGCGAGGTCGAACTTCCCGAGCTCGCGGTTGTCCTTCGTCATACTCCTCTCGCCTTCGTACACCTATACCAACCGAGCAAAGTTAGCTCTACCACACAGCACGAATGCACTGAAAGAGGGAATGACGACTTACGTGAATGGACACGGCTGACTGCTGGTCCTGGTACGTGGTGAAGACCTGAGACTTCTTGGTCGGAATGACAGTGTTCCTGGGGATCAGCTTGGTCATCACTCCACCAACGGTCTCGATACCCAGAGTAAGGGGCGCAACGTCCAAGAGAAGAATGCCTGTCGATGGACGCGCGTTAGCACAGATGGATTACAAAAGAAGACAAGTCTTTGCTTACCTTTAACATCGTCGCCGCCTTCACCGCTCAAGATACCGCCCTGGACAGCAGCACCAAAAGCCACAGCCTCGTCGGGGTTCACACCCTTGTTCGGCTCCTTCCCGTCAAAGAAGTCCTTCAAGAGCTGCTGCACCTTTGGAATTCGTGTGCTCCCGCCAACAAGAACAATCTCGTGGATCTCACTCTTCTGTAAGTTGGCGTCGTCCATAGCCTTCTTGACTGGCCCCATCGTCTTCTTGAAAAGATCGGCATTCAGCTCCTCGAATCTAGCTCTGGTCAGAGGCTCCGAGAAGTCGACACCGTCGAAGAGGGACTCGATTTCCACCCGGACTTGGTGCTGGTTGCTGAGAGCTCTCTTGGCACGCTCAACTTCCCTACGAAGCTTTCCAAGAGCCCGGTTGTCCTTGCTGATATCCTTGTTGTGCTTCTTCTTGATGAGCTTGATGAAGTAGTCCATCACTCTCTGATCGAAGTCCTCACCTGCATTGGTAGATGTTAGTTTCGAGCTGTAAGAAAGAAAAGGAGAAGGCTTTGATCAAAGTACCTCCAAGATGGGTGTCTCCGTTGGTAGACAACACTTCAAACACTCCGTTGTCGATCGTCAAGATACTGACATCGAAAGTACCACCACCGAGATCAAACACAAGGATGTTCTTCTCACCACCCTTCTTGTCCAGTCCATAGGCGATTGCTGCCGCAGTGGGCTCGTTGATAATACGAGCCACATTCAGTCCGGCGATGGCACCGGCATCCTTCGTTGCCTGCCTCTGTGCGTCATTGAAGTACGCTGCCCATCGAGAAGATCAGTAAAAACTATGATTTGGAAAACAAACAACTAGATGAATGAGTACCTGGAACTGTGACAACGGCGTCCTTGATCTTCTTGCCCAAGTATGACTCGGCCGTCTCCTTCATTCTCGTCAAGATCATGGCGCTTATCTCCTCTGGACTGAAGACCTTAGTCTCGCCATCCTTCACCTTGACTTGGATGTATGGTTTTCCATCCTTGTTGACGATCTTAAATGGAAAGAGCTTCATATCTCTTTGAACCTCTTTGTCTTCAAACCTATGACGGTACGAGAGTTAGATCAAGAAGGAAGGAAAAATTGCAAATGGGAATCTAACTTACTTCCTTCCAATTAGCCGCTTGACATCGAAGATCGTCCTCTCGGGATTAACAGCGGCTTGATTCTTCGCTGCTTCTCCAATGAGACGCTCTGTCTCGGTGAAAGCCACCCAGGAAGGAGTGATACGGTTGCCCTGATCGTTGGCGATGATTTCGACATGGCCATTCTTGTAGACGCCCACACACGAGTAAGTGGTGCCAAGATCAATGCCAATCACAGTCCCTAGCTTCGCTGCTTCTTCTTTCGCGACCACAGCAGCTCCTACACGATCAAAGGGGAAGATTTTAGACGAACTATCGATCGCTGGCGCTGGCCTTGGACACTAGATCTAAAATCTCACCTGCGATGAGCAACGCGAACAGTAGAATCACCGATCTCTCCATCGCGCTCTCTGTCGAAATGCTGCGAGACCTAAGCGCATGCCTTTTTAACTCCTCTGGTGCTAGCTGAAAGCTCTAGAAAGAACTAGGGCAGATGCAAGCAAGCGAATGGGAGCACGACACGTGTAAAACGCCCCAATGAGAATAAACCAGGTCATCCAGCCAATCAGAAGGCGTGGCCACTCTACAATGAAGTGGCTCGGCCAATCAGAGCCCGGCATTTTGTTGGTTGTTTTATTGCCGCCAGATCGCGTGGGCGTGGACAAATCGAGGCCGTTTGTTTTAAATGCCAGGTGAAAAGAAACTTAAAAGAGTGCCCTAGCTTGGACGCTGGACGGAGCTCGCCATGGCGCGATCGGCAGCGGTGGTTGCCCTGTTCTTCCTGATCGCTCTCACGGCCTTCCCGGATCAAGGTAATCGATATTCACGGATCTCCGTGGGGGCATTGGATTGATCTAAGAATCGAGTGATTTTTGCTCTGCTTAGGCCCGATCAGGTCTAAGGTCCACGCAGAAGATACCGGAGTTACCGAAGAGAATGCCAGTCCTCCGAAAATCGAAGAACCGATCGGTGGCGCGATTCCTGACGCCTTGTCTACTGATTCCCAGGTTGTCGAGAGGTAATGTACATCATTACTTTGCTGGAACTTTTTTGTTTCTCTTCTTTTTCCGGGGCAATTCTAAGTGTGTGGACATTTTCTACTCAGGGAGTCCGAGTCCGTGGGCCAAAAGACTTTGCGAGCCCATGCACAGAGATTTACGTTCCAGGCTGAAGTTTCGAGGTTGATGGACATTATTGTCAACTCTCTATATAGCAACAAGGATATCTTCCTTCGAGAGCTTATTTCGAACGCCTCTGACGTGAGTGAGATGGTTGATTTGGTGTTCGCCGTTTGAGCCCCTCTTCTTCTTGTTCTTTTTTCTCACAGGCATTGGACAAAATTCGGTTTCTGTCTCTTACCGACAAGTCTCAGCTCGGCGAAGGTGACGAGTCCAAACTGGAAATCAGGGTCGGTACTTCATCCATTTCAGTCGCTAATAGTCGTCCAAGTTCTTACATTCTATATACCAGATTAAACTGGACAAAGAGAAGAAGCTTCTTTCTATTCGCGATCGTGGCATCGGGATGACTAAGGACGAGTTGATAAAGAACCTTGGAACAATCGCGAAGTCTGGAACCTCAGGTGCTTTCTTTGACTCCTTTGAATTTTGTTGAACAACTTTGATGTTTCTTTTGTAGCATTTTTCGAAAAGATGCAGTCAGGAGGTGACTTAAATTTGATTGGCCAGTTTGGAGTCGGTTTCTACTCGGTGTATTTGGTCGCGGATTACGTCGAGGTCATCAGTAAAAATAACGAAGACAAGCAGTATGGCTTTCAGCTTTTCTGTTTAACTAGGCTTTGGAAGCTGACATACATTTCTTAGGTACATTTGGGAATCTACAGCTGATGGAGCTTTTGCCGTTAGCGAGGATGAAGAAAATGAGCCGTTAGGACGCGGGACTGAAATTAAATTGCACCTGAAAGATGATGCTGCGGATTATTTGGAAGAGTCGAAACTGAAAGTACGTTCCATTGTTTTGCCTTTTGATTTTGTGAAATAACTTTTTGTTTTTCTTTTGGCAACGCAGGAGCTAGTTCAAAAGTACTCAGAATTCATGAACTTTCCGATATACCTTTGGAATTCTACGGAAGTTGAGGTTGAAGTTCCTGTAGACGAAGAGACTGAAGAGACTGTTGAAGAGGAAGACGACAAACCAGAAGACAAACCAGGTTTGCTTTCAAAGACAAGGAATGCTGTTTTAATTTTTGCTCTTTTAACTTGCAGAAGAAAGTGAAACAGAAGAGGAGACTGAAAGTAAGAGGTTTTCTTTCTATAAACTTTGGTTTACAGTATTTATCTTGTTTAGAGCCGAAAACGAAGAAAGTCAAAGAAATCAAGTGGGACTGGGAGCTACTAAATGACGTCAAAGCTATCTGGCTAAGGAGTCCAAAGGATGTTACCGAGGATGAGTACTCGAAGTTTTATCATTCGATCTCTAAGGTGAGCTGATGTGATTGGCAAATGTTGTCAATTTTACGTGCATTGTTCAGGATTATAACCCCGACAAGCCAATGTCCTGGAGTCATTTCTCTGCGGAAGGAGATGTCGAGTTCAAGGCTGTGTTGTTCATTCCTCCGAAGGCTCCGCATGATCTTTACGAGAATTACTACAACAGCAAAACATCATTGAAGCTCTACGTTCGGCGAGTGTTCGTATCCGACGAGTTCGACGAACTTTTGCCTAAGTACCTCAGCTTCTTGAAGGTTGGTCGTGTGCAGTATTCGCGTCAGTCTATTTAATGCTTGGGTTTTTCACAGGGCCTGGTCGATTCTGATACACTGCCAATTAACGTTTCTCGAGAAATGCTGCAGCAGCACAGCAGCTTGAGAACCATCAAGAAGAAACTTGTTCGCAAGGCGCTCGATATGATTCGTAGCATAGTTAACGCTGACCCGGACGAGGCCAATCCTGATGCCAAAGCGGAGGATGCCAAAGCTGAGAATGCTGAAGGTTGGTACATGTACATATTGGTCGTTAACGTTAAGTTGTTTACCTTTCAGACGTAAAATCTGACGAGAAGAAGGAAGAAAAATCCGACGAGAAGAAGGAAGAAAACAAAGGAAAATACGTCAAGTTCTGGAACGAGTTCGGCAAGTCGATTAAACTTGGCATCGTTGAAGACGCAACTAACAGAGTGCGTCTTGCGAAACTCCTGCGATTCTACAGGTAAGATAGTCAAGAAAATTGTAGCAGCTCTGATTGTTATTCTAAATTCTCACAGCTCTAATTCGGACGACAAGCTCTCCTCACTTGAACAGTATGTTAGCCGGATGAAGCCCGGGCAGAAGGACATCTATTTCATCACTGGCCAAGACCGTGAGCAACTCAAGAAGTCTCCGTTTCTGGAGAGGCTCCAGAAAGAAGGCTATGAGGTACTTTTTTCCTTTGGGATAATAATCCGAGGTGACTAATGCCTTGGTTCATGCGCAGGTTATTTTCTTCACGGACCCAGTCGATGAGTATTTGACTCAGTACCTGACCGAGTTCGATGACAAGAAGCTCGTCAACATCTCCAAGGAAGGATTGAAGCTTGGACAGAAGGACAAGGAGAAGGCCAAGGAATTGAAGCAGTCGTTCAAGCCTCTGCTGGCATGGTGGAAAGACGTTCTTAAGCCCGAGGGTGTGGACAGCGTGAAAATCAGTAACCGTCTTGCCGACACTCCCGCCGTGGTTGTGACATCCACTTATGGCTGGAGCGCCAACATGGAGAGGATAATGCGAGCGCAAACCTTGACCGACAACTCCAGACAGAACTACATGCGCGGAAAGAGAGTGCTGGAGATCAATCCCCGTCACCCCATCATCAAGGAGTTGCGTGGGAAAGTGGACGAACAGCCAGAGGTTCGTCTAGTTTGCATTACAAGATCTAAGTTCTCATCTCATTGTTTTCTACAGGATGAGAGCACAAAGGCGACTGGAAAGCTCATCTACAAGACGGCTTTGATTGACAGTGGTTTCCTGGTTGACGACTCGAAGGAGTTTGCGTCCCAGATCTACTCGATCATCAAGAGCAACCTCAACATCAGCCCCGACGCACAATTCGACGAGGAGATCGAGACGGTCATCGAAGACAAGGTATGAAGCTTATGACAAGGCTAGGGATATGGATCTTACTGTTGTTGTCTTCACAGGAGAGCGTCGAGGAGAACGAAGATGCTGAGCCAGGCTCCGAGGGTTCCGAGGGCTCCGAGCCAGATTCGCCCTTTGGCGAGGATGGATTGCCGAGAGGCCAGTCCATGGGGAGTACTCTTAGGTCCGAAAACTATGAGCCAGACGACGAAGACGAGAAGGATGAACTATGACGAGATAGCCTCTAGACATTTTGTACACTTGGCGCGCTCCCAAGAACCCTAATTTCTGTATGTTTGAAAAAACGAATATTTTGTGTTAACTAACCTGTGCTTAAAAGGTTTCAATCATAACCCAAGGCTATGGATGGCCTGGAACAAGCGTTTGAATGGATCCAGGCCAAGGGCGCGCGGGCCACGCGCGCCGACTATGCCTCGCTGCTCAAGCGCTGTGGCGTCGCTAGGGTTCTAGATTTCGCCAGGCGCGCCTACGAATCCATGGCGCGCAGCCGGCACCACGACGAGCTCTCCCTCCGCAATCTCTCCATCGAGATGTTTGGCAAGTGCGGGGACATCGAGGTGGCCAGGGAGATTTTCCACGGCCTGTGGCGCCCAAATCTCTTCTCCTGGACGATGATCCTGGCGGCCTGCGCTCGCAATGGCCGGAATCTCGAGGCGCTGCTGCTCGTCCGCCGGATGATTGGCGAGGGAGCGCGACCGGATGTGGTGTGCTTCGTGACGATCCTGGATTTGTGCGCGGCCACGGCGGATTTGGAGCAAGGTAAGGTCGCTCACGCCTGGATTCTTGCCTGTGGTGTGGAGTCGTCTAGTAGGGTTCTTGGCAATGCGCTGATCAATATGTATGGTAAATGCAGGAATCTGGATCTCGCTAGAGCGCAGTTTGATCGGATGGAGCACCAAGATCACGGGAGAGATGTTGTGACTTGGAACTCGCTGCTTGCGGCATTTACCCACAATGGGTATTTGGAGGAGGCTGCTCGGTTGTTCCAAGAGATGGAAGTCGAAGGGATCAAGCCCAGCAGCGTGACTCTCACATGTGTTCTTGAGTCTTGTAGCGGCGATCGCCAAGGTAAGCTCTTTCACGATCGAGTTCTCGATCTCGGACTCCAAGGGGACGAGTTTCTCATGAATTCTCTCGTGAAGATGTATGCCAGGTGTGGGAGACTGGAAGAGAGCAGGCTGGTTTTCCGAGCGATCGATCAAAAGGATATCATTTCCTGGAACGTGATGATCTCGCTGGAAGCTCGGCTGGGAAGCAGCGAAGAGGCGGTTGAGCTGCTGCGAGAGATTGATCTGGAGGGATTTCCAGAGCCGGACGAGGTAACTTTTATCAGCGTTGTCGACGCTTGCTCTTGCCTGGGAGACTTAGATCTGTGCTTCACCATCCAGGAGCTCGTTTCCAGCGCTGGCTTTGACGACGATCTCCTCCTTGGCAACGCTGTTGTCAACATGTTTGGGAAGTCCGGCTGCTTGGATGCTGCTCGAGCAACTTTTGATCGATTGCCAGTCAAGAATGTGGTCTCCTGGAACTGCTTGATCTCGGGTTACGCGCAGAACCTCCAGGGAAGAAGATGTCTGGAGCTTTTCAGGCAGATGGATCAAGAGGGTGTCAAAGCCAACTCGGTCACCTTTGTCAGCCTTCTCGACGCGTGCTCTACAATCCCAGCTCTTGACTTTGGACGAGAACTCCATCTCCGGATCACTGCTGCCGGATTGGAACTACACACGGTGGTGGCGACTGCGCTGATCAACATGTATGGCAAGTGCGAGGAGCTCCAATTCGCACAAGAACTACTCGAGAGATACCAGTCGACGGGACTAGTGGCTTGCAACGTCATGATCTCGGCGTATGCCCAAGTTGGGCATAGCGAGAGAGCTATGAAGTTTCTCCATGGAATGGATCTCGCGGGTGTCAAGGCCGACGTTGTGACTTACATTGGAGCGCTCGAGGCGTGCGCTTGCTCCAAGGATTTTTCCAAAGGTCAGGCTGTCTACGATCGGGTTGTGAGCACCGGCTGGATCTCGCAGCTCGTCATTGCAAACTCGGTGATCAACATGCTGGGAAAGAGTGGACGGGTTTTGGAAGCCGCCATCGTCTTCGATCGGATGGAAAAGAGAGACAGCGTCTCGTGGAACGCGATCGCTGCTGCATATGCCCAGAACGGGCATCCGCTGGAAGCGCTGGAATTGTTCTGGAGAATGCAGCAGCAGGGTGTTCGAGCACAGGAGGCAACGTTTGTGACGATCTTAGATGCTTGCGGCGATTCCAGCTCGTTGCTCGCCCATGGTCGATCGATCGCGAAGCTGAGTTCTTGGACGTCCGACGCGATCAAAGGGGCGCTGCTGGGAATGTACTCCAAGTGTGGCTGCGTGGACGACGCGCTGGCAGCGCTCCAGAGCTTGTCCTCGCGGGGGCTGCTGGCGTGGACGTCCATGCTGGCGGCCTACGCCCACGTCGGACGCGCCAGCGAGGCACTGCGTGTGCTCGGGCAAATGCAGCACGATGGGGTGGTGCCCGACGACGTGGCATTTTCTGCCGTGGTGTTTGCATGCAGCCACGCTGGACTCCTCCACGAGGCGCTCGTACGGCTGGCGTGGGTGTACGGGGATTACGGTACGGCCATGGGCGCTGGGCTGTACGAATGCGTTGTGGACGTGCTTGGACGGATGGGCCGGCTCCAGGAGGCCGAGGAGCTCATGCACGCGATGCCGTACGAGCCCGATAGTTTGGCCTGGATGGCGCTTTTGGGCGCGTGTACAGTCCACGGTGATCTGGAAAGGGGGGCTCGTACGGCGGGACACGAGGCATTGTTGGATTCGGGCAGTGGGCGATATGTCTTGCTATCCAATATGTACGCCTCATGGGAGGATTGAACGGCCGGGATCTCCGGGAATGGACGGTGATCTCTGACGCTGTTGGAGTAGGAATATCTTGGGGAGATTTTTTCCGATGTGGATAAACTCTGTAGCACAGCTGTGAACAATATTCGCGATACTTTTTTGCCCCTTGCTTACGTGTCGTAACGTTACACGCTGCTGTCACGAGTTTGACCTGTTTAACCACGTGGTAAAAAAGTGTTGTGGCTTTGGTTTGGTGGCACTAGCTACTAGCGAGCAACGCTAGCATGGGACGAGCAGCTAGGGTTCTTCGAGGAGGAGGGAGTGCAATGCTGGGTTTGTCGATCGACATAGCCAGCTGCGAGCTGTGATCTTGAGCGGCACATTCGCCATTCGTCTTTCCATGGGACTGGAGCTGTGGCGCCTTCGTCTATCGGTGGATTCGGCATCCAGATTGTGGCTGGCGCCACCGGGGAATCAAAATTTCGAGCTCAGGCACGGGGATTACGATCCTTGGAGGCGATGTGGAAGAAATTCCAGGCGATTTATTTGCTGCCGAGCGAGGAAGAGTCAATTCGAGGGTGGCAGCAAGGATTTGCGAGGCGGCGGCATCGAAATCCCGAGTTCTCTCCAGATTCTCAAGAGGAGAAACCGACAAAAGAGCCAGATACCTGGTCCCGGGGAGCTCGATGGCGGTAATCTGGTGTCGAGCTCGATCAAGAAGGCGTTTTCATCCATGGTCTTCATGCTCAAATCGATGCACCGGTTCACTCTGGAGATGCTGTGCTGCGATGAGAATTCCGTGCTCAACGAAGTGTGGAGCTTGGTCCAGCGAGAGATGCACTCCTCGTTCCTGTGGCTGTTCCAGCAGGTATTTTCCTCCACACCAAAGCTCATGGTCTCGATCATGATCCTCCTCGCGAACTTCACAGTCTACTCCATGGACAGCTCCATCGCAATTCACTCACCAATTGTGCCAAGCACAGCGCTGGATCGTCCAGCCGCTCCAGCAGCAACAGTGATGTGGAGCTCTCCAGCTACAGAAGTTCCGGGGTATCTAAACTTTTTTGACGAGGCTGCGATCGAGAGTAGCGGAGGATCAAAAGATGGCGGAGGAAAGCCTAGAACTCTTATAGCCGGGGGAACTGATGGGGGGGATGAGTTTCCTCTCTTCCGGCGGGGGAGAACCACGATGATGAGAGACGATCAACTGGCAGCACCAGGGAATCTTAGCAGGAACCAGCAGCTAGCAGTGATGAAATTCCTCCAGCAAGTTCCAGTTCCAGCGAAAGTTACCAAGGAATCGCTGGTTGCTCCAGTGAGCGCAAAGCTGGAGCCCGACAACTACGAGTGCTTCGACCGGACGGACCTTCTCTACCAGCAGGCATTGGGCGAGGACCGAAAGAATCCACTGATTCTAGCCAACTACGCGCAGTTCTTGTACGTTGTTCGCCACGATCACGACAGGTACGTGAGAGTTCTTAGTTCGATCGAGATGGTGAATGAAAGTTTTTGGATTGAATTGGCAGAGCTGAGACGCTGTTTCGATTGGCGATGGAGGCCGATCCCTCCGACGGTGAATCGCTCAGCCGATTCGCGAGCTTCTTGTGGCTCGCTCGAGGCGACAAACAGGGCGCGGAGGATGCGTACAAAAATGCCATCGCGTCCGACCCCGCGAATCCATTCCACTTTGGAAGCTACGCACACTTCCTGTGGCACAGTGAGAGCTGATGTGCCATGATAATGTTGATATATACACCGTTGATCTCGTGAAAGTGTTCTTGATCCGACGGCTAGGATAGAGCTGGGTGCTCATAAAGCTCGCAAGTCAAATCTTTGCCCCGGCGAGAAAATGAGGGTTTTTCGGCGCCGTGGGGAGAATCGCGCGGTGGAATTCGATGCCGCGATCAGGTACCTAGCAGATCGTTTCTCGCCTGCGCTGCGGCGAGGTCTCGTGGATCTGGCGATTGTTTAGGGCGGAATTTCGGTCCAGGAGCTGGATTCTGGTAGCTTCTGGTTCTAGAGTGGCAGGGAATGGATTTGGGAAGCTACATTGAGGTGGCTTTGGGATGGAAATTTTGCGGCGTAAGAGCTCCCGGCGGCTGGATTATTTCTCGCGTATGAACATGACAGAAGGTCGTGGCCGTCACAATGGAGCTCACTCCACTAAAATTCTTGCTGCTGTTCTTGCTACTGGCTGTCGTGGGCTACGTTGTTTTCACGTAAGTCACAAGGAAGATTTCATTCTTATTATTCACTTTTCTCTGTTCAAATTTATCATCAGTTGCACAGCACGTCTTGTTGCATGGGTGGTGAGCAGAATGATCGGTGGCACTGTACGATTCCGCATTGCTGGAATAAATGGGATCAAAGAAATCTCCATCGATCTTCATAAGGTGATGTTTGCGACTTGTCCCGCGTAGATTGCTCTAAGCGATGAACTTGCAGGGACCGGTGGCTTATCTCACTGTCAGCGAGCTCAAAGTTTCTGTGAAAAAGCCTCCGGGCACAACTGGCTGGAACATCCTATCTTGGAGCTCCAAACTCCAGTTGATCATTTCTGACGTTGAGGTGGTACTCAGAAAACACAAAAGTTCCCGACCGCGAGGAAAGAAAAGACACAGGCACAATTCTACTGGTCGCGGAATATGGATGGTGGTGACCAACGTTGCCAAGTACCTCAGCGTCTCAGTGAATGAGATAGCGGTCAAAACTGTGGAGGTAGTCGTTGAGTTTTTTCTTCTATCAAACTGGGTTTCGCTGTTTTGCAGACCGCGACGATAACGCTGGATGTTAAAGAGCTGGAAGTGGATACTTTCCGGGACGATGCTGCTGTTTTTTCTCTCGGAGTGAAATTTTATCTTGCACCAATCGTTTTATATCTCGGTGAAGATAAGCGATTGACAGATGCTCCTGGGATTTTTCGACCACTGAGAAAGATTGAAGCCAACGGAGACTTTTATTTCTCGCTGGAGCATCTCTCGGTGTCAGGAATTATAGATCACGACAGGTAATCTTGATAATTGAGTTTGTAAAATCTAAAAAAGAGTAACTTTGCATCGATGGCAGAGAAGCAGGGATGGTGATCAAACAGTTGGAGGCAGGATGCGGTGAGGCTATACTTAACATAAGTGCCGAGTCGATGCCTCGAGGCCCTCTGGAAACTGTGTCGGATACAGATCCTCAGGAGATTCCTCATATAGAAAATCACGAGTCTCGAGAAATACACCCCGAGTACGAAGCAAGAATTTTGGCAAGAAAGGTCCCGGAGGCGGTGAGCTCATTCATACCCTTCTGTGTTCCATACTAACGTTGACGCTTATCCTAGATCAACTTCAGTTTGCCCAAGTTCACTATCGAAGCGAAAACTTCCTCCGAATTAGCTTCATTTAAGAACGAGATTAAGGGTATTTTTCTGCATGGAAGCAGATCCAGCCCACTCGATAACGTGGGCGTTATTTCGTTGCTTGACATTGAAGTAGACTTGGGCGAGATTCATGTAAGCATTTCATTTGATGGTTTATTGTACTTCATATCTCGTCTTACACAGGTTTTTCAAGATGAAGAAAGTTCCGTGCTCGATATCATGAAGGTCTCTGTCAATGTTTCTGTGGAATTCCCTACGCAGGTAACAAGTTGATTGTTATCTTACTTTCGACCTTCCTTGAGTTCTACTTTTCCAGTTGGTTCGGCCATTGCGAGTGGAAGTAGATGTGAAGCTGGGAGGGACGCAGGTCAACTTACATATGAGCAGATACGACGAGTTTATGCAGCTTAAGTCGTTTCGTCCTGTAAAGAAGAAGAGAAGGAGCTCCTCGACTGCGCCGACTCGGAAAATGAGCATATCATGGAGCTGTAGCATTTCAGCTCCTGAGATGGCGATTTTCTTTTATAGCCTCGAGCGATGGGCCTTTATGCACGTAAGTACGTTTTCTTTCAAAGATGGAATTGCAACTGCTTAACTTTCTGTAACAGGTTTTTTCTCAAACTTCTCATCTGTACATCAACATCATACCAAGTCACGGTGTTGTTGTTCACGCTGAGCTGGGCGAGCTTTACCTCAACAGGATTGAAAAAGGGATGAGAGTTCCGACGGAGTTTCTGGTTGGTGTCGAAGGCGGTTCTGGCTGCGTTCTGCATTTATCCCGCATAGCCGTTGACAGTGGTGTAGAAGGAGCAGGGGAAACTCCGGCAGTGACGGTTGAAGCAGGTGCGACCGAGGTGTATATTGGTATGCTCAACATCAAAGCTGCTTTATTCGCTCTCGCTTCGATTAAATCTTGCCTAAAGGACAGGAGGACTGGAACTACCAAAGAAAAGGAACGTCATAAACGGGGTACTACAATTAAACTCCAGCTTGAGCAGCTAGTTTTTCATCTTGAAGAGCAGATGCACGTTGAGGACTCGACTGTTTCTGATCCGAAGAAAGTCAACTTTGGTAGCCAGGGGGGGATAGTGATCATCACAAAGCAGGAGGATAATCTGCGGACTGCCCGGGTCAAGCCCGTAGCCTTCAATCAAACAAGTTCGTCGGGAGTGAAGCAGAAGCTGACCGTCACCTTCTCTCTCATCGTCGTTTCTCTCGATCGCGAGAAGAAAACTACACTTCTGGAGCTTGAAAGTGGTCGAATGCTTTACGAGGAAGTAGGCGCAGATGAGAAAAACGTCGCCGAAAAGACGCTGCTGGCAATGCACGCTGTCAAGCTTATTCACAGGCCTGCGAAGCTAGCGAACGACGTCGTCATGCACTTCCTTCTGAGTGCACGGAATGTTTCACTCCACTGGGATCCAGACGTGCACTTGTTTTTCTACCAGCTGAGCCTCGGGGTGAAAGAGTTATTGCGCAATCGTGGCGCTGCCAAGAATCCCAAGAAGGCTGCTACTTCGAAGTCCAAAGCTTATTATGCCGTCGACATCGAAGACATGAACATCAATGCTGAACTGGCTGATGGAGTTGAAGGTTCGGTTCATATACAATCTCTTTTCTCTGAGGATGCGGTTGTGGGGATGCTCTTTGAGACCGTGGAAGTAGCTTTCAACAAAGCTGCTGTAGCCAGGATTGATCGACTCCAGGTTTCGCGAGTACCATCACTACTTCAAGAGCAGGATATGTCGAGGGGAAGACAGCTTTGGGATATCGTTATACACGGGGCTGGCGTACTTATTATTATGCCATACAGGTTACCTCTTCGTGCTATCGATGACGCTGTTGAGGACACTTGGAGAGGCTTGAAACTTGCAATGGTTGCAAAGAGAATCTCGATGCGTCGGACGAGTATGCCAGAATTTTCGAAACCAAAGGACAGGCCTTCGTTCCAACTGCATTCTATGAAGCTTCACGTCCGCGGTATAAAAGCAGAGATAGAAGAAGAACCTCTCCAAGGTTGGTTAGACGAGCATCATCTTCTTCTTCAACAGCAGTGCCGTGTACTTCTCGTTCGGGAAAAGCTTCTGGAAGAGTCGTATGCAAAAGTACAACTTACGAAGCAGGAAAAGCGGAAAATGTGGGAGCAGCTGCAGGAACAATCATTTCAGGAATATAGGCGGGCTTGTTCCAAGCTCATTCCTAGTCGAGGGTCAGGGGCTTGTGGCACAGGATTTCAAGCGAAGTTCAGAACAAGTGTCAGGAGAGCTTCCTTGATGTCTATTTCGGCAGAAACTCTGGATTTCACGCTGACGAGAATCAAAGGAGGCAGATCTGGAATGATTGAAGCCATACGGAGACTTGACTGCGTGCAGCCGGACGTGCAAGTTCCATTTTCAAGACTCTATGGCGGGCACGTTATATTCGGAATGACATCACTTGCGATCTGTCTTCGAGATTATACGCCTATGCTTTCGGCATCTTCTGGAAGGTGCGAAGGGATCGCCATCTTTGCTCAGCAGGTACCAGACTGTAGTTTAGTTGTGATGTTTTCCAACCTTCTCTTCCTTGCAGGCAACATGTTTCCAGAAGCAGATGGTGCAACACCTATATGTCGGCCGATGGAGAGCTGTGGAGATGCTGCGTTCCATGAGTGGCACGACGCCATCGTATAAGTTCTACAGCGAGCTGCCTATTGAGATTACTACAGCGAAAGTGTGTTACGGTGTCGGTTTTGAACCTGCCTTCGCCGACGTGAGCTATGCCTTCACTGTTGCTCTACGGAGGTACAACCTCAGCGTGAGAGAGGAACTGGTACACAGACCCCCTCTCGTCAAAAAGGAGAAAAACTTGCCTTGGTGGGACGACATGAGATATTACGTCCATGGGTTCAACAGCATCACCGTTTCCAATTTCGAGTGGAATTTTTTAGCGACAACGGATCCTTACGAGACTCAGAACCGGATGCATATGATCTCGAGTACGATGGTTATCAGCCAGGCTGAAGGATCGCTTTCATTCCAGGGGGACAACTTTGATATGTACATATCCAGCTGGGAGGCACTGGAGAAACAGCACCAGTTCATCCACGCTCCGGTCTTTCAACTCGTCATTACTATGGACTGGACTTGTGCATCGGGTGCTCCTTTATTTCATTATCTTCATGCGTTTCCCATCGAGCAGCGTTCGCGAGAACTAGTTTATGATCCGTTCCGCTCACTCTCCTTGTCGCTGATATGGAGTTTCTCTCTTCAAACTTATGCTCCAAAAGGAGAGAGTGGGATTAGCATGAGGAGAAACAGGACAGGCCAGAAGTTTTCTTCGCCTTCACAGCTACCAGGTTCTTGTCGAGTCGACGTTCCTTATATGAACCTCAGCGCACAGGATCTTATGTGGGTGTTCAAGTGGTGGAATCTTTACTACTCACCTCCACATAAGCTGCGCTCATTCTCAAGGTGGCCAAGGTTTGGGGTGGAAAGGCTACCGCGTTCAGGCAACTTGTCGCTCGATAAAGTTCTGACCGAGTTCATACTTAGAGTGGATTCGACTCCAGCTTTTATTCGTCACACGTCTGTAACAGACGATGATCCAGCCGAGGGGCTTACGTTCAGCATGCAGAAGCTACGTTACGAACTTTGCTACAGTCGGGGGCTTCAGAGGTATACCTTTGAAACCAAGCGTGATATCCTCGATCTAGTCTATCAGGGACTGGACGTCCATTTGCTGAAGACCAAGCTCAAGGCCCTTTCCGACTCTGAGAATGGTATTCACAGCAGTGCTCACTCTGATAAGCTGAAGGAAGATGGTTTTCTTCTTTCTACGGATTGCTTTACATTAAGGAGGCAGTCTCCGAAAGCGGACACCGCACGGCTTTCTCCTTGGAGAGAAAACGTTCAAGTTCGTGGGTCTGGTCACTACAGGCTTTCCGATAGTGAAAATGATCCTCCCGATGCAACGTCCTCAGATCCAAGTGACGACGATGGCCTCAATGCAGTGCTGGCGGACAACTGTCTCAGAGTTTCTTTGTACAGCCTCAAGCTGTTTTGGACCGTGTGCAATCGGGATGCTGTATGGGCTTGGGTAGGAGATATCTCCAAAGCTTTTGAAGCACCGAAGCCGTCACCGTCCAGGCAATATGCTCAACGCAAGCTGGTGGAGGAGAAGCAAAAGGCTACTGTTCTTGCTGAGCAGGGTGCAAAAGCTATAAGCTCTGCCCCATCTCAAGGTACGATGCTCCTAGAGAAAGCATGGAAATCAACTTTTGTTTTTCAGAGATGCTACGTTCAAGGCTAAAGGAAAATGTTGAGGAAGAAGAAACGCTGCAGTTTATGGTCAACGTCATTCAGCCTCAGTTTAATCTTCACTCAGAAGACGCACATGTGAGTTTCATTCTTATAGATGGATCAGAAATTTATCTTTGCTTTTACTGTGCTTGCAGGGTCGATTTCTTCTTGCAGCCGCAAGTGGTCGAGTATTAGCACGCTCTTTTCATTCAACATTCTACGTAGGTCTTGAGGAGCTCCTTCAGCAGGCTCTTGGACCTGCTTCATTTTCAACTCTTGGAAGCATTCCTGAACTGTCTTGGAAACGTCGGGAGCTGTCAGTACTGCTAGAACATGTGCAGGCTCATGTCGCACCAACGGATGTCGACCCTGGTGCAGGCATTCAATGGTTACCGCGAATTCCCAGAGGAGCAGTAAAGGTCAAGCGGACAGGTGCTTTACTTGAGCGCGTTTTTCTTCCGTGCTCTATGTATTTTCAATATATTCGCCACAAAGGAGGATCGACGGATTGCAAAGTATGTTCTCTTTATATAATCGTTGTCAAACTTCTGACGTTTGCTTCAGGCAAAGGCTCTAAAGGACCTTTCTTTCAATTCTCCCAACATTACAGCTACGATGACCTCTCGTCAGTTCCATATCATGGTGGATGTTTTAAGCAGCCTTCTCTTTGCGACGCTTCCAAAGTGGGTACTGGAATCAGCAAAAGCTTGATGCCTTACATGTTTTATTCAGGCCGCGTAAACGTGAAGAGGAAGAGGACGTGGTAGAAGAGGCAGACGAAGTAGTACCGGAAGGTGTAGAGGAAGTAGAGCTTGCTAGAATCAAACTCGAACAAGCAGACAGAGACATGAAGCTCATATCGGATGATTTAAAAATCATTAGGCTGCGATGGCGCACTGCAGCAGACGGAGGAGCAAGTCCGGACCAACTTTCGTTAAAAGAATCTCCAGAGAACTCGTTGAACAGAGCCTTGACTACGTCCGGCCTTGTAAGTGCTTTCATTTCTCCTCTCGTACTAAGAAATTTTACTAGGTACGGAAGCTGGAGTCTGAATTAGTTTTTAAAAAGAAGGAAAGGAAAGTAGCTTACACTTCAGTAAGATCTGCAATGCACAGGGCAGCGCAACAGGAGAGGGAAAAGAACAAAATCCCCTCTGCTGCAATGCGAATATCTTGGGCTATTGACAAGGTTGTTTGGAGCATGTTATCCGATGGTGATACGTTTGCTGAAGCCGAGATAAGCAGCATGGTCAGTATTTTATGTCGAGCTATTTTTTCTATCATAATGTCCTTTTCTTTCTTCTTTTTCATTCACAGATATTGAATGTTGACAGAGATTTCAACAACGTCGGTGTTGCACGTTTCACTACCAAGTCGTTTGTTGTCAAGAATTGTGTCCGTCTTGCGAAATCAAATGTGCTGTCCGCGTGGAATCCACCAGCTGAATGGGGAAGGTAATACCGAGTTTTTTTTTTTTTTTTAAAGTTTGAAAACTTTTCTCAGGAATGTTATGCTTCGCGTAGACGCCAAACAAGGACCTCCAAGAGAGGGACTTTCACTACTCGAAATGTTTCAGGTCCTTACGAGCGTATTTATTTCTAACTTTGAGCTGTCTTTTATAACAGGTAGAAATCTACCCGCTTAGGATCCATCTGACTGAAGTAATGTATACGATGATGTGGGAGTACTTCTTCCCTGGCGACGAACAAGATCCGCAAAAGCGACAGGTACGTGACATATTTCACCCAAGACTTCCTTCATGTATTAGTATTTAGGAGGTATGGAACTCCGGAACAAAGCGCAGCAAGAAAGGAGTTGCTGTCTTTGAGTCTACGAAGGAACCGTCCGTATCGAAAACCAGTGCTCCTGGAACTCCTCCTACGCTTCACGGTGGTCAAGCACTACAACGATCGACTGCTCAGGCAAGAAGACTAAGTTCAGCGAATGGCCTCCATTCACAATGCTCTTTCTGCTCACCTCTCAATCAGTCAAAGAATTTATTGGAACACCAACGCTCGGCGTCACTTGACAAGTTCTGGGGTGAGAAGGATACGGAGGGGTTTACAAGCGAGCTTGTCCTTTTCTCAAACTCAAACGCAGCTGCCTCGGATGACGCTCTAGCGGCAACCAGTGCCGTTGTCGAGGTTGATATAACCAAGTCCAAGGACGCACGTAAAGCTCGAACTGGCAAAGCCCCTCAAGAAGACAAAAAGGAGGCCAAGAGCCGAAAGATTTTCCTGGAGATACATAACATCAAAATCAGCCAGGTAATAATGTGTGCGCGCAGTGAAACTGACCGCTTAACTGGGTGACTTTGCAGGTGGAGCTCCTCGTCACATACGAAGGATCGAAGATCTCCGTCAGTGAGCTGAGGCTATTGATGGACATGTTCACGAGGACCGAATTCACTGGCTCTTGGCGTCGGCTGTTTTCTAGCGTGAAGAAACATATCATCTGGGGTGTCTTGAAGTCTGTCACCGGAATGCAGGTAATTCTGTGAACGTCTTTGTTGAGGTTTCTCACTTGATTGATCCAGGGAAAGAAATTCAAGGATAAGATGCAAGCCCAAGCCCGCGAGCCGTTCCAAGACAGCGATTCAAACTCGAGTGACAGCGGCATCACGTCAAAGATCAGCACCAAGGAACGCTTTCCCATTCCCATTCCCCATTTTTCAAGCGCCGGGGAGGGGTTCGTGTCCTCCATACGGGGGCTATTCAACTCCCAGAGGAAGAACATGGTGCGCAAGATACGAGGAGAGGAGAATCAACACGAGTGGAGCGACGGCGAGCTGGCCTCTCGAGCAACACACAAGGGGAAGACGAAGCTCCTGCGCAGGCACTCGAAGAAGCGCGCTAGCATATCCAAAGGTAAAGTTCACCATTTTGCAAGAGCAAACTCGTCAGCTTTTTTTGTTGGTGGTGTTTGCCAGGTTCTATCATTCTGGGAGAAAGGTACTGCCCGTCTCCTCGAGCATCGTCGTCACCGTATCACAGCGATGGCGAGGCCTCCAGCGGTGGTTCCTCCACGTACGAGGATTTTGATACGTCTTAGCGGCCTTCAAACAAGATAGGATCCCGAGAGCTAGCAACTGTAAACATATTCGTAAATACATTGGAAATAATTAATCCAGGGATAGGGTTTATGATTAGGGTTTAGGGTTAGGGTTTAGCAAATGTACTTGTTCGAAGAAAGAAAAGAAGATTTCGATTTTACCACAAGTCTCGAGTTCGCCGGAGATCTCTTTCGGAAAACGTGGAGGACGAGGGAGTTCTGGCGAGATTGCTTAAACCCTAAACCCTAACAACAAGATGGTGGTGGTGATCAAGATGTCCAAATGTACTTGGTCGCAGAGAGAAAAGAAGGTTTCGATTTTACCACGAAACGATGATGCCTTTCGGAAAACGTCGGACCGATAAACCCTAAACCCTGAAGAAAACATAGTAGGGTTTAAGGCTAAGCCCTAAACCCTAAACCGGTTGGCTTCTTAGTACAAAAACTCAATTTAGAAAAAGTTGATAAGGCTACAAAACCAGGAAAATAAGACTTGGTTCGCGAACGTGGTTTGCGTTTTTCTTTTTGTGATTCTTGTTTGCTCATCTCTATGCCTTCTCGGTCTTGGCCGCGGCACTGGCGGCTTGTCCACGGAGACGCCCAGTCCTCCGGGCCGCAATGAGACCCACCTTTTGCCCCGGAGGAGCGTCGCGGCGGACAGTGCTGGCGTGACCGATGTGCTGGTGGTTACCTCCTCCGTGGGGATGCTCCACGGGATTCATAGCCACACCACGAACCTTGGGCCAGCTGTTGCGCTTCACGCGGAACTTGTGGTACGCGTTGCCCGCCTTGAGCAGAGGCTTCTCAGTCCGGCCACCTCCCGCAACTTGCCCGATCATCGCCCGGCAGCCACTGGGAACCACCTTCTTGGCCCCGGATGGGAGCTTGATACTGCAGAAAATCTCACCAAGAATTTGCTTGTTAAACAAAGTATGAATCGAAACAAGGAAACGAGAAACAAACACACAAACCAAAGATACGGAAAGAAGCACGGGAAGAAGCGAAAGCATTGTTTGTTAGAACAATGGAAGCATGAAAACAAGAAAAGCTCAAGAAGAAAAATCGAAAGCATTACCGGGAGGTTCCCATGTCTGGATTGTGGCTGACGACGATAGCGTAGTCTCCAGAGGCCCTGGCGAAGGCGCCCCTGTCCCCGACGCGGTGCTCCACATTGCACACCACAGCTCCCTCTGGCACGGATCTAAGCGGCAGAATGTTCCCAATGGCGAGCTGAGCCTTCTTCCCGCAGTACATGAACTGCCCAGAGTAGATCCCCTCGGCAGCGATCATGAGCTCCTTCTGGTGCTTGAAGCGGAAGGGATGGCGGAATGTCACCTTGCACAGCGGCGCCCCACGGCCAGAATCGTGGATCACGTCAGTCACCACACCCTTGATGTAGCCATTGCGCTCCGCGAAATCGAGCTTCCGGAGCCGCGCCGGACCCTTGCGGTGGTGCGTGTGAGATTTGAAGACGGAGCCGCGACCCTTACGCTGTGCCCGGATGGCGCGCCCCATTGCTCCTAGCTCGCTCGCTCCTGCCCTAGCCGCTGGAAAGACAAAACGCCCTAAATTGGACGGCTAAGACCGCAAACTAATCTCAGCCGTCGATGGACAACGTAAGATTTTAGGGCATTGTGAAGAGCAAAGAAAATCTGGAGTGATGAAGAGAATTGGAGCGAAATGGCTTGACATATTAGAGATGGAGTGGACTTCCTAGAACCCTCTTTGTATAACTTTCTTTAAAGTGTTGGTCACAACATTAATTCTACTACATTACGGCTAATCTATTATACTTATGCTTATTCTCAAATAAACATAAAATGTTTTATAAAGAAATATTCTATAAATATCTCATTTTCTATGATCTTTTTCTAATATTCTAGGATATTCTTTAATCTATTTTTCAGTGTTTAAATTTCTAGTAAAAAAAAATCAGCAATTGCAAGTGGATGACATTGCTCAAGATATCAGATATAATCACATAATCTCCCTAAGATTCAAACTTAGAGTGAAAAAATATACATGTAGGAAGAGGAATGAAAACCAAAAAAAAAAGCCTAGATAAAGTTGGCAGGAACAACAATCAATCAGCTTATCCCAATCCACGGGTTTCATGCTTCATATATATTGTATTATAGTCCATTTTGCCCAGTTTATAAAGCATGAGACCCTAATTACATGGATGTTCCAAGCACGGATGCTTGATCTTGCTCTTGCCAATGGGAGAGTAGTTTGGTCCTAGCTGCTGGTATTACAGACAACGTAAAATCCTCTAACATAGTGACATAATGAATGAATGAATGGATCTGGGCAAATCTCTGCATATTGGTGAATCACACAAACAAGCTTTCGTCTTGGTTCTTCATCATCTCCAAGCAAGTTAATTCACCAGCAATCAGAGCACGAACAAGCTCCACCATTAAAATGATGGAATCGGTAGCAATCCCTCACCACAATTTCTCTCTTGGTGTTCTTGGACGTGAGCTTCATCACGACATGGCAATCCTCGCAGATCCGCAAGTTCTTGATGATGGTGATCTTGCTCCCCTCCTTCGTCCCGATCAATCCAAACCCCAGCGCCAATTTTTCACTGTGATGCCACAGCAAATTCTCCCGGTGCTCGTCCTCCACATCGTGGAGCACCGATCCCACATCCGGGACATAATCCTCCTCGCTCTTGAGCACCACTCTCAGCTCATCCAGCCGCTCGTAGATCTCCCCAGTTCGAGGATGCGATCGATCCTTGACAGCAAACTCGTGAACCCTGTTCTTCACCTCAATCCAGCTGCGCCCGGGCTCCTTCCTCGCCCCATTCTCGCCCATTCTCCTCCGTATCTCCTCCGCCTCGTCCCATCGCCCCGCCGCAGAGTAAACATTCGAGAGCACCGTATAGCTCGCGCCATGGCTAGGGTCGATTGCTACGATCGCCTCCGCTGCTCGCATTGCCCGATCCTGGTCCTTGTGGATCCGGCATGCGCCCAGCAGCGCCATCCACGCCGCCGCGTCGGCAGCGATCGCCATCGATCGCAAGAAACCCTCGGCCTCCTCCAGCCATCCCGCGCGGCCTAGGAGATCCACGACCGCGCCATAGTGCTCCACGCTGGGAATCAAGCCATAGTCGCGGGAGATTGCGTAGAATATTCGCGCGCCGTCCTCCACCTGGCGCGCGTGACTGGACGCTGACAGGGCGGCCGTGAAGCTGATTGGGTCTGGAGATATTCCTGCCAGCTGCATTTCATACAGTAGCCGTACCGCCATGTCAGCATAGCCGTGCTGCGCGTACCCCGCCATAATGGCATTCCACGTGCTGACGTTGCCCTGCGGCGCCGCGTCAAAGATTCCCCGCGCGGCGTCCAGGTCGCCGCACTTCGCATACATGTTCACCAGCGCATTCCGGACGAGAATGTCGTGGGGGTCGCAATCGCCTGGACATTCCGCCATCCAGCGGTGGAGATCGCGCCCCGCGCTTGCCGCCGCCCCGCTAGTGGCGCAGGCGCCAAGAACAGCGACTAGAGTGAATTTGCTGGGGCGGATTCCGAGCTGGAGCATCTGGCGGAAGTGGAGGAGCGAGCCATCGGCGCGGCCGAATTGGGCGTGCGCGGCGATGATCGCGTTGAGCGTAATCACGCCCGGGTGCTGGATCGCGGCGAAGACCTCGGCTGCGCGATCCAGGCGGCCGCAGCGCCGGTACATGCTCACAAGCGCGGTGGCGACGATGAGATCCGAATCGTAGCCGTGGGCGCGCGCGTCCCTGTGGATGGATTCGCCACGCTCGAGATCGTCCGGGCAATCGCACGCCTCGAGCACATTGACGAAGGTCACGCCGTCTGGCCGTATGGTCATTCTTCCATATAGATCAAGAGCCTCAAAAACATGCCCGTTTTTGGCAAATGCTGCGATCATGGTGTTCCACGAGCACACGTCTCGCTGATCCACTTTTTCGAAGATCTCATTAGCGCGACTGATATTCCCGCCACGGCCAAAGAGGTTGATGATAGAATTTGCGACGGTGGTCACGGATATCAGTCCCGAATCGATCGAACACGCATGAATCAAGTTGCCGCAGGTGGTGATCTTGGCAGCTATTCCAGCGACGGCGCTGGCGATGCAGATGATCGTCACCGCGTTTGGAGCAATGCCCTGGAGCAGCATCTCGCGAAAGACGCGAAGCGATTGCTCCTTCTCGTCGCCACGGGAGTAGACAGTGATGAGCGCGTTCCACGACACGACCCCGCGCTCCTGGATCCGATCGAACGCGTCTTTAGCGCGATCTAATCGCCCGCAGCGGCCATACATTCCGATGAGCGCAGTGCCCACCACGAAGCTCCGATCGAATCCACTCTTCTTGGCGAAGTCCTGGACGATCTCGCCCTCCTGGATCGTTCCCGGCGCCTTGATCAAGCTGAGAAACACCACCGCATCCGGCACGCTCCCATCTTGGAGCATTCGCTGGAAAAAGAGCAGCGATCGAGGGAAATCCCCGGCCTGGGCGTTTGCGCGAATCACCGCATTCCAGGACACGGCGTTGCGCCGGGGCATTCGATCGAGCAGGAGCTCCGCGTCGCGCGAGCTCTCGAGCCGGGCATACATGTGGAGGAGGTGATTGGAGAGGAAGAGGTGATCGCCATAGCCACTCTCAATCACCCGGCGGTGGATCTTCCTTCCCTGGTCCAGCGACGTGGATTCGTCTACTAGTCGCGCGAGATCCCTCCAGGAATCCACCGGCGCGGCCGGGGGAAGAACACTCGAGATCATAGCGCGCGAGAAAAGAGAAAGGTCAAACAGAGCGAATATTCATTAGACGACTGGGTCAAAGGGGCCTTTGAATCTCGTAGCCACGCTTGGAGAGTTCTTGGAGAACGCTCGCCAAGGTGTTTGGATTCGAGAAAACCTCCTTGACAAGACAATTCTCGATGGCTTCCAGTTCTTCTCTATCTTGATCCGCCACCTTTTGCTTCTTTGGCGGTGGAAGTCGGTGATACCCTTCGAGAATGTCGTCCACATTCAGCAGTGAAGGATCGTGCTCCTTATCCACCTCTTTTATCGGAATTGGATCATCATCCTCCTTGTCAACCTTTGGCAGCCGTAGCTCGTGCTTATCCGGAGTTAGATCATCCTTTTTGTCAACTTTTGGTAACGGAGTTACGTGATCTTTCCCATCGAGTTTCTTCCTCTTGAGGCTTGGAATCGCGTTGTAAAGCACTGGAAAGGAGCGCAAAAACACTTAAAAGGAGCCAAATTCCACCCAGAAACCTTGCTTACGTCTAAACGGATTAAACGATGGCTTCCTCTCATTCTCCGCCTTGGCCGTCTACACGAAAACAACTTGAGAACGAGGCAACGAAAAAAAAGCATAGAACGTTACCATCGCCAACCTACAGAAGAACACAAAACCACAGAACTACAAAACCTAAGCCCCCATATATAGTCTAAAACTTGATTTCATCTTATTAAAAGGAAGAGAGTTTTTAGAACCTGGGCGGAGTTAGAGAGTGATCACCCAGCTGGGCGCATCACTTCGGCACCCAGCCAGCGTCCTGTACGCGTACAACTTCTCAACCGGCTCGCTGCAATCCATGACAAGCTCTCCGCCACCTTTCTCGCCACCTTCGCCACCTTCAGCGTCACCTTGCTCGCGGATCACCTCGACGTTGAGCCTGGGCATCGCCCCCGCCAGCCAGCCGCAGCCGGCGAGGCTCACCCTGCAAGCCGACATCCACAAGAACCTCATGGACTCGTACTGGTGAAGCCCGGCGAGCAGCGCCGAGTCTCCGAACGGGCTGTCGCGGATCTCCAGCTTCCGGAGCCTCGGGCAGCCGCTGAGTACGTGCTGCATGGCCGCGTCCGACTCCCCGGCGAAGGCCACCGAGAGCGTCTCCAGCTTCTTGGCGTAGTGGCCGATGTACTCGAAGGCCCTGTCCGAGAGCCAGCCCGAGACGGCGAGGCGGGACAAGTTCTTGCAGTTCTTGACGATGGCGCCGAAGCCTTCGTCCATGGTCTCGCCGGTGATGTAGTCCCGCTGCCGGGGGGTGATGATGCACAGGCGGAAGCGAGTGAGCATCGGGCAATTGGTGGCGACGGTCTCGATGGCCTGGTTTGTGCACTGCTTGCAGAAGTAGAGCACGGAGGAGAGGTTTGGACAGCCCTGCGAGACGGCCACCAGGCCAGCCTCGGTCACCGAGCCCTGGCCACCGTGATCGGTCGGGAAGACGCGGAGTTCCACCAGGTTCTTGCAGGTCTCGCCCACGGTTTGCAAGCCCCGGTCCTCGACGGAATCCAGAACCTGTCACACAAAAGTCTACTTATGAGTTTTCTGAATGGGACGAAGTTCCTGGTAGGATAACTTTGTCAAAAATGAGTGACAAAGTTCCTGGTAAGAAGAGTCAAGGAGAGGTGATACTGGTGGTAAGAAGCTTGCAAACTTTGTCAAGGATGAAGCATGGAAACTTAGTGGTAAGAAGATTAGAAGCTTTGTCAAAGAGGGAAGCTTGAAAACTTGTAATACTGTGCAAACTTTGTCAAGAATGAAGCGTGGAAACTTAGTGTGGTAAGAAGATTGGAAACTTTGTCAAGGAGAGGAGCTTGAGAATGGCATTGGCAACTTTGTCTTGGCGAGCAGCTTGGTAGAAGGAAGCTCGGAAGCTCCTGGAGGGAGGCTGTGTTCCTGCTGGAAGAGAAGAACAGGCTTGGAAGAGAGAAGCTTACCCAGAGAGTCTCGAGCTTGGGACAGCGCTGGATGAGCTTGGCAAACTCGGTGGCCCGGATGGTGGCGTAGCTCAAGTTGAGCGACAGGAGGTTCTGCGCCAGGGGATAGATCAGCGGGATGAAGATCGGCTCCACCATCCAGAAGCCCGAGAGGTGGCGGAGATCCTTGCAGTTTGAGAGCGCGGTGCGGAGCTCCACGTACTGCGACCAGTTTTGCATCTGCGAGTAAGTCCCGGTGCCGAGATCGGTGAGCTGCGGGGCCTTGACGAGGAGGCGCAGGAGCTGCTCCAGAGTGACGCCTTTGTTGAGATTGAGCTTCTTGAGGGAGCGGCAGCGCGAGACGAGCTTCTCCAGGCACTCAAAGTTGACATCGCTCTCCAGGCACGAGAAGTTTAGAGTGACGAGCGTGTTGCAGCTCTCCGGGAAGTAGCTTAGCCACTCTCCACCGCGGTCGTCTACCAGGCACTCCTGAAGGTCTAGCTCTTGCAAGTACCTGCGAGTATGACGAGCATAGCGGTCAGAAACCACCACCAAAGCTAGCTAGCCGCTCAATCGTACGAAGTTCGAGAGCTCTACAGCTTTAGCTAGGAGAAAACTCGCTCGCTAGCCGTGCTAGAGACGTGCACGACTGTCAAACAATGATCTCTCGAGAGACTTCTCAAAAAGAAAGAAGAAATGACTGTAAACTGATGATCTCTCGAAACACTTCTCACAAAGAAAGAATGAAACGAAGAGCTAGAGAGAGAAGAAGCTTGAGTTACCTGCAGTGGCTGGTGATGGCTGCAATGCCCTCGGTGCTAAAACCATCGCAGTTGACGAGGTTGAGAGCTCGAAAGTTTGGCAGCAACTGCGAGATCATGAAGAGGCTCTCGTCCGACACGGTCATGCGCTTGAGCCTGAGCGCTTCCAGCCACGGGTAGCTCTCCACGATGACGGGCATCCAGGGGTGGAAGAAGGCCCCCCAGTTTGGAGGAACCAAGCTAAAGTCGGCGAAGCGAGGCTTCCCCTTGAGAGTCATCGACTTGAGCCGTGGAAACCTCCGGGTGAGAATGTCTGGAGACACCGCGTAGCAATTCCCGATGAACACTGCTTCTCGGTTCCACCCCTCGGCCTTGTACCACGCCTTGCAAACCACGGACACGGCGTTTCGATCCTTGTGTCCCGTGACGAACTTTAAGACGTTCTCCAAGACTTCGTCTGGGAAAGTTGTAAGCCTCCCTTGTTCTTCCTCCTCCTCTCTTTCGTCCTCCTCTTTCTCTTGTTCGAGCTCCATGAAACTATCCTTGTGCAACACTACCTCGTCGTCCCGGATCATCTCCTTCTCCCCTCAAACTTAGTAGCGACTACCACTTGTGTGACTATAACTCCAATTCTTCTTCGAGCACCTACACAGCAAAGACAGTTGCTGGTGTCAGTTCCTTTCCCCTCCCCACGGACGAAGGATGATTCCTCTCACAACTTTGCAGGCAAAAGAGAGCGAGCGTTTTTAAGTCCCTCCGGAACGAACAAACACAAAAGAAAGAGAAAAAAAGGAAGAACAAAATAAAACAACTTTAAAGAAGAATTCCAAGTCGCACACACACTTCATTCCACAGTGAGTGAGAGTACCTCTTCCGGAAGAAATAAGTGAAGGGAAAAAAGGGATGCATGGCCAAGAGGTTGGAGTGAACAAGACAATGCCACGACTCTCCCGTGAAGGGCCACCGAGGAACAATCAAGAGGGAGGAGACGTGGATAAGAAACTACGAGCAGCTATGGAGGAGCAACAGGGCAGTACAAGTCTAGAAATCCAAAGCAGAAAAAGCAAGCACGCACCAGCCAGCCAGCCAGCAAAGAAAAACGCAAAGAACAAGAGCACCAAAACAAGCAGCGAGCGTGCACTAGTACCACAGCGATGGAGTCTTTAGGCAAAGGGAAATCAAAGGTAAAATAAATAGCAAGGCTGAGGATGACAGACCAGCAAAAAGAGCTCGCGGGAAAGACGAGACTAAACGAGAAATCTGGCGATGAGATCAATCAGAGAGCCGTGCTGACCGCTGCATTGTTGGTGAAAATTAAAACTACTCTCAGAATTCAAGGGTGGTAGTAAAGAAAAACAATAAAAAAAAAGAAAAAAGAAGAAGAAGAAGACTACGAGGAAAAAACACCAAAAGCAAAAGCTGTAAAAATCAAGAGACGATTCTTTCGGCTCTCACTCGCTCAAGCTTTGCGTTGGATTTCCACGCACAGAGACAAGCAATCAAAGCGGTGGAGACAAATAGACTTTTCCCTCGCTCATTGTCAGCCCTGTTGATACTGATGTGACCAAATATCTCTCACGTCTTATAGCCCCCACTCCTTGAGCAAGCACGCAAAAAAAGAAGAAAAAAAAGAGAAGAAAAAGAGAAACGCCATGTTCTTCAGTCGCAACTCTCAAAACCCAAGAAAAATAAACCCAAAACCAAACCCATCCGATACCAGGGAGGAGAAGTCTTACCGCTTCAAGGACGGACAAATGCCACGGCTGGGCATTTTGCTGTTGGGCAGCCAGTACAGAGTGAAAAAGCTTCGTGTCACTGGAATGGGGGTCCAGCATCGCGCTTGTTCCTTCGCTTTGTAGCCTCTTTTACCACCACCATGGCCTTCAATCCCGGGAACCCAACACGGATAAGATGAATCGGCCGCGAACCCACATCTCAGATTTGCGAGGAGGCAGCCTGTGCTTTCGATTCTTCCCTTGACACAGACTAGGGGAGAGGAGGAGAGAGAGAGAGAGAGAGAGGAAACAAAGGGGAAAAGGAAGATAAAATGCTGCCCCCCAGAAATGTGTAAACTAAAGGCCCAGGAAAGGAAACATTGTATAAAATTTATATATGTGAGATACTTTGGCTGGGCTTGCTTGCTTGCTTGCTTGCTCCTTTGTCTTGCTGGTTGTTTGCTTGGCTTGCTCTCCTATGGTCTCAAAGACATTGGGCTACTAAAACTAATCATTCATGTCAGCTCCTACTAGAGAGAAAAGGAGGAGGAACACAAATATTTTGTGGAGATGGCCCATGAGATTTTGGAGATGTACAGCTGCCTACTTGTTGGTTTGGTGCTGGCTCTTCTGTTCCCAGTTGAAACAACCAGACCGGGTTAGTGGAGAGAGAGCATAAACAAAACAGGCTAACTTGTTCTCATGTTGGCTTTGTCCTAAGTGGGCTGCTTTGCTTACATCTGTAACAAAGAATGTGTAAGTGAGTAGTAGTGATTACAGGAGGAAGGTGTGGAATCAAAGCAGATTGAGAAGGGCTTTTGTCAGAGGAATCCCAGGAGAAGACTGGTTCTCCCCCCTAATAAATAATGTTAGAGAGAGAGAGAGAGAGGATAGAGGTCATCTTTTGAGATAGAGAGAGAAAAAAAGAGGAATAGAGAAATGATGCCTTGCCAGATCCATCCAGTGCCTGCCCTGCCCTGTTTGGGGGCTATAACATGGAGTTTTTGATCATTTTCCAGGCCCAAACAAACAAAGCTCTGCTCACCAGCCAGGGAATGCAGAGACCCAACTCTTTTGTGTGTGAGAGAGACTCTGTGCATGAGAGGGAGAGTTTGTGCGTAAACACCAAGGGAGACTGATTGCTCCCCCAAAGCTTCCAGCTTCGAAGTGTTTGTTAAGATTTTGGTGGGAATATCTTTCTCCTCTCTTTTGCTTGTTTCTAGGAGGAGAGGAGAGCGCAGAGGAGGTTGCTTCAGAATCTTTGACCAGCTAGGAAGAATAAATTCCTGCACCCAGAGGCCAAAAACAGATGACTCTCCTCTCCCAATGTCATTTGCACTCCAGGGCCAGCCAAGAGGGATGAAAGAACAAGGATGGAGGGAAAGATCTCAGCTCTTTGTGACTGTCAGTACCTCCTACCTAGGTACAGCCAAAGGGCAAGATTGCAATTGCCAAATGCCAGCCCACAAGAGAGATGAGGTGATGCATCAAGAAAAAAATTTGGTTTTTTTTTCTTTATGAGTGCCACTTTTCTGGAGCTAGCCTGCCTCTGCTGCACTTCTGCCTGCCTTTTCTCTGCTGCACACAAGTCCCAGGAAGAGGCATTTGTGGTGCTGGTTATTTGTTAGGTGGTCTCTTGGCTTGGACCATGATTTCAGTTATTCTATCAACTAATTTTGTTTAGTGTCAAATTGGTTAACATTTTCCTCTTCCACTTTACAGACAGGAGATTGCACAAATGATGAAACTAATTTTTACGAATCATTCCGTGGATCATGGGCAGACAAGGATACTTTTGTATTGTTTGCTGGTTTGCAGTTTTCTGTTCTGGATTTCACGGATAAACAAGAAATCTAGCAAAGTAAGCACATGAATATTGGCAGATACTTGAAGCTATGGACTTTCATAAAAGAAAAATATAAAATATAAATGTGTTGAAGTGGACAGTATATGTTTTGATTTTATAAAATTTATAAACAAAAGTGTATGGTCTAGTGGTTTATATCTCTTTCAGATATTATTGTAATTTACACTATAGTTTTTGTAGGCTCTAGGTTGTTAAATTTATCAATGATTATTTTATTAGATAATGATGCAACTTTTTTATTGGAGCTTTTCAAAAAGTGAGGCATTAGAAAGAAAGTCTTGGAGCTCAAATATTCTTTGACTTTTAGTTTAAGAATTACAAATAGAAAATAGAAGATAGGTTTGGATGAGGGCTTGGGGACAATCGGTGTAGAGTGATGCAGTTGTACAGACTAGCTAGCTCACAACGCAAGAAGATTATTTTCGTGGCCACTTTTGATACGCATTCTACCAGGTCAAACAGGCCAACCTTATCTACTTCGTGTTCCCGAGTTTTTCCGTTTTCTTTTATCTCCTTGAAGTGCTCACTAAAAAGATGGCTATAGGTGATGCTTCCTTGCTCCTTTGTTTGTTTGCTAGTTTGTTTCTATGGTACCTCTTAAAGGTAAAGGTCGGTGGTCTCATTTTTATGCTCGTTGTGGGCCAGTGTTCCTCTGTTGCATATGTTATATATATGTTGTAGAGTGGATGTGATGTTATTGTGTTGTGGTATGTGCGTTTACAATCTTAAAAATGTAGTATTTCTATGGTGGAAAGATCTTGTACCTCATTGTAATTTTCTTCTCTCCTTCTTTCTAGATGGTGTCTCTTCACCTTCTGGGCAAGAGATGTCATTGTCGTGTGAAATTGTTGGGAACTTAAGGATTGAAATCAAGGCCTCAAGCGTTGAAGAAAAAGAAGGGGAGAAGCGCATAAAGGAGTAACACTCTCTTATACTTGCATGCGCAGTATGATTCTTTGTCTCGCTCTTTCCGAGCAGTCCTATGTAATGCAGGCATGTCAAGCTTGTACACAAGCGCTCTAGGAGATGCAACAAGATCGTTTTCTTTGATATTCACGTCTTATTACTTTCTCTTTCCTTACCTTTTTTCTTTTTTGTCATGGAGAAGCCAAAGAGCTCTCTTTGTTGGTTGGCTTGTTTGATTGAGAACTTTGAAGGCAGCGCAAGTCTTCACATGTTAAGATCCATTGAAGGAGTCCAGATGAGTTTGAAAGTTGGACTTTGAAACCTCAGAAGCACATGGTTTTCTCCCTCTCTAGTGGAAAATCCTCTGCAGTGAGTTTGGTAGTAAATCCATCCAAAAGTCCGTGGATAAGGCTGATTGCCAAACACCAGTTGGAGTATTTCTTTTCAGTTCATCCAGATAATCTCATTTCATAGTTCATTCCAGACAATCTCAACATGAGGATTAAATTGGTGGTGTTATGGAGAGATCTTCAGGAGTTTTATTGTGAAACCAAAAATAAACAAACCAAACCTTGCAACGCAAACCTTATTCTAATGCACTAAATCGCTTTAGGTGCATTTGTAGGCTTCAATAACAACTTGCAGGTCATTGGAAGAGGTGAGACTCAAGCTTATATTCGCAAATCCCTCTGAAGCTAGCAGTTCGTTCCATTCGTTTTCACTCCTCTCTTTTCCTCCAATTGCAGCTAGCATGAGAATGTCCATGTCAACTGGCCTTTCCTCGGCTGGGTCTAACACCTCCTCCACAACAACAAGCTTCCCATTTTCCGGAAGTGCCTTGTAGCAGTTTTGAAGAATTCGCTTGCAGTTTTTGTCGTTCCAGTTGTGAAGAACAGCCTACAGATTAGACACAATCTAATTATTTAAATTACAAATGCTTTAAGATTACGGTACCTTCATGAAAATAGCATCTCCAGAAGGAACACCTTTGAACATATCACCACCAACATGCTCAATTCCTGCATTCGGAAAACACGAGTTGCAAGAACCACGATTGGAGTCATTTTCGTTACCTGGATATTGTGGAGCAGCCGCAACAACATCAGGAAGATCGAAGTTAATTCCCTTGAGATGTGGATAGTCTTGGACAATCTTGTGAACACAAGCGCCATGCCCGCCACCAACATCAACGATCACACCTTTGATACCCTCAAACGCTTTGCGAGCCTCCCTAGTCGCAGCTACCATGAAACGCTCAGACGTCTCCGAGATTGCCGCTCTAAACATCTTGCTGAAGCCCAAATTATGGCTTGCATACTGGTACAAGCTCTTGCCTTCATTTGCCACCTCAAACGCACTCTCGTGGGATCCTCCAAGGGCGAGCTTGTGGATCTCCGAGTAGGAAGCCACCATTGGCTGAGACGTCTGGAGCATGACCATTGCGTGGATGTTCTTGGAGGAGACAAGGGTGGACGAGAGATTGTTGTGGCTGAAGAAACCGCTGGGATCCTCGCAAAAGATCTTGTTCCTCACTAGAGATTGTAGGATCCTCCGCACAACGTCCGGGTTGGGGTCACTGGGATTGATCTTTGCGGCGATTTGATTGTAGTGGAGCGGGGATTCACGACCCAGAATGTCTGGAATGCCCAAGCAGATGACCGCTTTGAGGAGAAATGGCGTGGTGATGGCGTTTGAGATGGAAGCCATTTCCAGATCATAGTCTTGCATGCTTGAAAATCTTGTGATATAGGAAGTGCTGGAACCAAATGCATGATATATATAGGCTCCATGAATGTCCTTCGCCACAGCGTCAGCATTATTGAAATTTCACTTCTTCTAGAATCTTTAACAAAGTTTCCACAAGTTTTTGACTTGGGCATTGTAAAAGTTTGGTAGATTTAAAACGTAGGCACTGACTTCCTTTCCAAAGTATTGAATGAAATCATCGAGGAAAAAAAGCTCTCGGCTTCGTGATGCAAAAATTCCAGAAATCGTCTTGTCACAGTAGAGATACATGCGCTGCGATCGCTCACGAGTATCACTGGGGCAAAAACTCCGCCAAAATTTCCAATGTGGAGCTAAAGCTGAAGCAGCTTGTGGCAAAAACTCTTGGCTCCCGTCCCGTCACCCGAGTCTCGTACGGAAGCCTGCTCCAGGCGTGCGGTGAGGCAAAGATCCTGGCGTACGGAAGGGTTGTCCACGAGCACATGTCCGCCGCCAACATGGACACCGGCAGCATATTCCTGGGGAATCATCTCGTGCAAATGTACGGGAGGTGCGGCAGCGTGGACGAGGCCGCCGCTGCGTTCGAGAGAATGGGCAGGAGGAACGTTGTCTCGTGGAGTTTCGTCATCGCGGCATTTACCCAGAACGGGCATCACGGCCGAGCAATGCGATTCTTCCAAAGGATGCTCCAGGATGGATTCGAAGTGGACAGGATTCTGATTGTCACGGCGCTTGGGTCGTGCATGGATCTGAAAACCGGGAGAGAGATTCACGAGCTCGCCCTCGAGTGTGGATATGGAAACGAGACGGTCGTGTGTACGGCGCTGCTGGGCATGTACAGCCGGTGCGAGAGCCTGGGCGACGTCGAGACAGTGTTTCTTGGGCTCCAAGAGAAGGATGTTGTGTCCTGGAACGCGATGATCACGGCCTTTGTAGAACTCGGCAAGAAACAATCTGGAGTGAGCACAAAGGTGGTTTGGATGTTTCGAAGAATGCTGCTGGAAGGGATGAAGCCGAGCCGGGTGACATTCATATCCACTCTTGGAGCCGTGGAGAGCAAGGAAGAATGTGTGTGGCTTCATGAAATTATCCGACAGAGCGGGCAAGAGCACGACGAGTTTGTGGCAAACTCTCTCGTTACTGCGTATGGCAAGAAGAACAGCATTGTAAATGCTCGACAAGCGTTTGATGCTGCTTCAGATGCCTGTGTTGGAACATGGAATGCTATGATCGCGGCATATGCCCATTGTGGGGACTTTGGAAAAGCTTTGGAGACCTTTATGTCTATGCTGGAAAGTACCACTAAGCCAGATCAGATCAGTTTTGTGAATGTCCTGGAGGCGATCACTGGGCCAGAACTTTTAAAAGATGGCGAGTTTATACACAATAGTGTTGTAGAAAACGGGTTTGAGAAGGATGGGATAATTGGCAGTGCTTTGCTTGGCATGTACTCGAGGTGTGAGAACTTAGAGAAAGCTGAGGAGGTTTTTGCCAAGATTGGACGGCCTTATCACAGTGTCGTCGCATGGAACTCCATGCTTGCAACTTACACAGCGTTTGGGCGATGCAAAGAAGCCATCAAACTTTTCATGGACATGCAGCAAGACGGAAGCAAAGCTACCGAGGCAACGTTTGCAACGCTTCTCACTGCCTGCGCGGGCGCCTCCACTCTAGCTCAAGGCAAAATGGTGGTTTCGTGGATCAACGAATGGCTTATGAGCCACACAATCAGTGCCTGTAGCTATCTCGTAATCCAGAATGCGACGATCAACATGTATGCAAAGTGTGGGAGCCTCGACCTCGCGCTCCAAACCTTCAATTCGATGCATCAGAGAGATGTTACATCGTGGAACTCCGTTTTGGGAACGCTTGCACGGCATGGCGTAGGCAAGGAAGCAGTCATCTTTCTCAAGAGGATGCACTTGGAAGGTGTGAGACCGGATGATATCACGTACACTCTCGTTCTCACTGCTTGCAGCCACCATGGGCTCTTCAAAGATGGCCGAAAGTGTTACGAGTTTATGACCAAAGTTCATGGCTTGGAACCCACGCTTGTGCACTATGGCTGCATGGTTGATCTTCTGGGACGCGGAGGCTGGCTGGACGAAGCTGAGGATCTGATAAGAGAAATGCCAATGCCAGCGGATTCAACAGTGTGGATGGCGTTGCTTGGGGCATCAAGAATGCATGGCGATCTTGCCCGCGCAAAGCTGGCAATGAAGCATGTCTGTGAGCTTGAGCCTGATAATCCATCACCTTACCTTCTCATGTCAAATATCTCTTAGTTCTTGCGAGACTTGTATCCGTATAGTCTCATTTGTTTGAGCTCAACAATATGTCCCGTGTAATCTACAGTAACACTTCTAAAATTTGGAGGATTGTGGATTAGCATCTTTGAAACCCATAGCCGGAAGTTGTCGTCACCCGGGAATCAACATATCGATATCCTGTTCAAGATAGATCTTCTTCATATGGCAGAAGAAGAAGATGACTTGATCTCAGGTCTCCCAGGTGAGCTAGTTCTTGTTCACGTTTTTGCTAGGCTGCCTTGGTACACTCGTCCAGTCTGCAGATCTGTTTCCAAACGATGGAAACAGATGATGGATACCAGGAATCATCTTGTCGATCTTGCAACTCGCAGGTTTCAGCTTCCACTGCTCCAAGGTGTCGCTTTGGTGTGTTCTTCAGCTCCATCTAAGCCTCCAAGATCACACTCGTCTCACCATGAAAAGTACCCTGAAAAGATCTTCCTCATTCAGGACAAGGAAACCTTGCAGTGGCGAAGGCTTCCACCCGTATCTGGCTTTCAAAGCTATCAAGTTGGACAAGTCCGTGTGTACAAAGCAAGGCTTGTTGCAGGATGTGGAGCGGTCTATGCTTGGACAGTTGCCCCCACTCAAAGCTTTGGGGCTCCAGAAGGTAGCTTCATATTCAAACTGGACATTGGTCGGGGAGATTGGATCTGGAAGAGAGTCCCAGCTTCTCAAGTTAGTCGCTGGTCCGAGCCAGTGTTTTTCAATGGTAAGATCTACTCGCTACTACCAGGCTGCCAACCACGGCGGAGGATATGTTCTTGTTTCGAAGTCATGGAGTATGATCCCGAAACAGGCTCCTGCCATATGTCCAACAAATGGCCCTCCAAGAACGTTGGTGTGATCCTGAGCTCTTCTTCGCGACTGCAACAGCTCTATGGCGTAGTCCGCACGTTGGCCAACGGTCAACAGCTAATGGTCAACGAGGGCGGGTCGTGGCAGCTACATCGGGAGCTGCCTGCCCTGCCGGACGACCGGGTGTTCAAATTTAAGCTGGTCAATGGCGACTGCTTCGAGCCTGCCGTGGAGGCCGGGGTCAACGTACTTGCCATCTTGCTCAGCCACCGGGATGCAGTGGTCTATTGGTTCAACACAGAAGTCAACGGGGCAAACTGGGTAGCAATCGAGCATCAGAGCCAACCTGGAAATGTGACACAATGTGTGGCTGTTCAAGGATCTTTATATGCAATTTCAAGGAATTTTCCAAGGCTTCATTATAAATTGTGGAAGGGGACCATCAATGTGGCAGAGAGGCTTCTTATTTGGGAGCAAAGGCAAAGGCTCCAAGTTTCATTGTCTTGCTTCACTTTGATGGCATGAAATAGCTTCCAGTATATCCATCTTGAAGATTTTAGAATTAAATAAAATAATAATTTGCATGTAGTAACGTTTAGTTTTTTTAATAGTAGATCAAATAAAGTTTATAATTATAAGCATGTTTGTAATTTATAAACACATAATAAATTTTATTGCATATCAACTATTAGACGGTAGAATAAAATAAAATATACTAGAACGTGTTTTAAAAAGTTTATAAATTAGAAATATAAAATTAATTTAAATGAATAAAAATGGTTAGATGATAGAATATCCTAAATATTCAAGTATATTTTAGATATAGTCAATCCCAGATTTGCTTAAGCAAACCAAAATATTGTGTTTGTTAGAATGTTCTTTTATCCTTAGAGAACAGTTTCGATCATTTAAACCCTTACGCGTTTAAACCCTTTAGGGCTTTTTGGGATGGGCATTCACAAGCTCTATGGCGTCAAGATCGCGACGGCCTACTCCTGCCCTGCTCGGCCGACGCCTCGATCGGATCACGGCAGCGGCGGCGGCAGCTCGTATGTGTTCTTAATCTCTTCCCGATTGCGATCTCCTCGAAATCTGGCGCTTCCCGTCTTGCATTTTCACGGTTTGTCGTGATTCGCTAGCAGACTGCTGGGATCCGGTGATTTGGAGGCGACGCAGCAGCAGGAGGAGTGGTGCTTGAGGTCTCTATGGGAGCGCCGGCCAAATTTCTTGCGAGCGTTCCATTCTTCACACAGAGGTATTATAAACTAAGTTTTGGATCATAGCTTGAGAGAAAAACTCCCAGCAGGTGATAGAAACCTCGTGGAAACTGTTATAAACGTTGCTACTTCGTTGCCGTTTGTTTTGATTGGGATCCAAATGCCAAGGTATGAGCAGCATTGTAATTCTTCCTCCCAGATTGTTCTTTTCTTCTTCCCTTTTACAGGCAAAAGCCGCTCACTAGACTATATGCTGATTCTTTGATCGGTGTCGGCCTCGCGTCAACTTTGTTTCACGCATCGCGTGGAGAGGCTCGAAAGTATTTTCGATGGGTAGACTATACCATGATCGCTACTTCAACTCTGGTACCAACAATCTTACAATGTTTTCGATCTGTTTAAAACGTTTTCCTATAGTGCCTGTCGAGAGCTCTACAAACGGACAGCTCCAAAGCTTTGTACTGCGCTTCAGCGATGCTACTTCCCTTTCAGCCGTTCGTCGTCGCGGCCTGTCACACCGGACTTATGGAGGTGTGTGGACGGACTTAGTTTTCCCTCATGGTTTTGTTTTGCTTTGTTTCCAGGCTGCTTTTGTTCGCCGAGCTCTCAAACAGCCTAGCCTACAGAAAGCTTACACCTTACACACCATTTCCACGGTCGTGGGAGGAACGTTATTTATTGCCGACGATATGTATCCAGACACGCCCTTTTTGCATGCTGCTTGGCACATTGCCGCGGCAGTGGGCGTGACAACATGCAACAAGCTCCTGAATTCTTAAGTATTTTATTGGTAAGATTGCTGGTCTTATTTGAGATAGAGTATACAAAGAGTAATCGCATCGCGAAGCAAGGACTCTACACAGTTGTGAAGGCAGCATCAATATCTCCTGGAACTTCAAATGGAGGTACTGTTTGGTATCCCTCTACCTGTTAATCCCGGGCCGGAGCTTGGAAACAGGAGGGTGTATGGAATTTGCACTGGTCCTGTCCGGTTCTTGAGTTTCGTGTCCTTGTTCCTTGTCTGGATGAGTTCTTCCACTGCCTTGAGTTTCTCAGAAAACTTGGTGAATGCACTCTGAGCTGCTTGGTTGTTGGTCCAGTTCTGGATTATTCTTTGTCCCAGGTACTCCTCGTCTGCTGAATGAGTTGCCAGAATTTCTATCGTTGTCATAACTGACGTTGCTTCTGCCTTTGTGGACACTGCAGATAAGAAGAAGTTTTCCGGATCCTTAAGAAGCTGCTTGTGTTCCTCAGAGCCTTCTCGTGGGATTTCCCTGTGCGTGGCTGTTGGGTGATTGGGCATGTAACCAGCGTAGGCGTACTGTCCAAAGTTTACGGCGGCATGGTGTGCAGATGCCAACCAGATCACAGTTGTGAGCACGCTTACCAGGTTCGGCTTGCTATTCATTTCCACCCACCATGTCTCGTCTTTCTTGTCACCGTGACCAACGTTAACAATTTCCGTCCACCATGCCTGTAGTTCGTTGTCACTCTCTATGTCTGCGTCATCTTCGTAGCAGCTATCTACATATTCCTGTGTCCACCTCTCAATTGCATCCCAAATCTCCAAACCGTCTGCTGCATATGGATAGTCGTCGATAGCCAGTTTGAGTCCATGCTTTGAGTTTGCATCTGGAGTTGCCATTCCCCTGGAAAATGTTCGAACTTTTAGATTGTTTTACATCCCTTGCGATGCCTACCTTTTCAGTAAATCTGCAGGAAGTCCTTGGTCGTCGAACCTCCATGTCCTATAGACAACGGAGCTCAACTCCATTGAGTATCTCCTTGTTGAGAAGCATTTCTCTATTATACCATCAGCATTTATCAGTGACTGCCTGGCTCGAGCGTTGATTGACATTGTGTTCTTGAAGTGTGGAACCAGGAACGGATTCAAGGGATGAAGCGCACTCAGGTTTCGATGTGTCGCAATGATAAAAGGTTCCAGGCAGGCATGAGTTCTTAAACTGCAGAGGAAAAACACGTCAGGTATGAGAGACGGCATTGTTGACAGCTTACAAGTGACTTATGAGCTGGTGATATCCTGAATCATTTGTAGTTACGTGTGCTTTTGCGAGATGCCATAACCAATCCTCTGTTCCTGGTGCAGGTGGAAGAAACACCCTTTTGTTTTCTGACTTGGAGGAAGAATCCGGTGGCAAGCTCAACTCGATGGCAATAGGCTTTAGAGTTCCATCCGCTTTGAGGTACAGTAGAGTTCTGGATGCGTAAGCGTGGATTTCCTTGATGCTGTTGATTTTGGTCAAGTAAGGCAAGTATGCATCATGGTAGTCTAAGATGAATAGCTTCTTGTTCTCAAGTGCCTGCTCATATGAGTCAGTAAAAATCGTCACCCAGTTCCATTTTTCTTACTTGCTGGACTGTGTTTCCTTCAAGCTGAGAGACAATATGTTCTTCTGTAATGGCTGACTTTTGTGTTCCGTATACTGCTGGGTCCAGCGTGCTTTCTGGTGGAAAAACCTGCATACAGCGGGTCATTTTTCTTACCAGCATTTTGAAGCTAGATTACCTCTAGTAGCTGAATCGCCATGGGGTTCAGTCCGCTGATCATCTGCCTTGCGAATTCGACGTCGGACATCCATCCTTTCTCGTTGGCTGTAGAAAGCAGTTTTCGCATCAGAAAAATCGCAGAGGTGAAATTACTAATTACCTTTGATAACCGTAGGTATTGGATACATCAGCAAGCTTCCACTGTCTCCAGTCGACAGGCTTTGGACAACCTCAGCTGGATCAAGAATGTCGTCGTCTCGTTTGCACTTGCTCATATCAACTCCTTCCACGTACAGATTTTGCACTTCACCAAAGCTATCAAACGTTTCATCTGCTGTGAATGTTCCTTCCAGGTTTGGGATCAGGCTCTGTGCCGCGGCTTTTATGGCGGCCGTTAGGAAGTCGGACTCCTTAGTTGTGCCAAATCGTTCATCACTCGGTATGTAGTAATTTCCTGCTGCCTGGCTCTCGGTAGCTTTATCTGGAAAGCAGTGCTTAGCACAGCTATTAATATTACGAGTGTAAAGCACTCACCTGTTTCCTCTAGATCTCGTCCAGTTCGACACCGTCGTGGATACGGAAATTCTGCAGAACCCCCGAGTGTAGGCCGCTGGAGGGACTTGTCAGTATCCGGTTTCCCAAGATCATTGTAAGTGGCGTAGTCATATATTCGTTCCCAGACTTTTCTTTCACCTGTTCCATTGCCTCTCAGGTTCAAAAGCTCCTGATTGCGAGCGTCAACAAGGCCGGCCGGTGTGTCCTTGGGAAGAGTCAGCTACGCGCACAAATGAAGATGGAACATTAGTACCCTGTGACGGCGGACGAAAGAATGGAACTTACGTGGTTACTGAAGAAGATGCGGTCGTTTGGATACCGGGACACATTGTACACCCAGGAATTGCAGGGGAATTCTATAACTTGTTGCTGAGGCAGCTCGAGTGTTAGAGATTTGAGGTAGAACTCGTTCGGGTGCTTGTTTCTGATGGTGAAGGCACCGGGAACTCCAAAGTCGTCGCCGATCTCGAACTTAACATTCAACTCGACATCTTCAGTTGCCCGCAATCCTCCAGACACCAGCCAGCCGCCAGCAGCAGCTCGTTTGGACAGTGTTAATTTCTTGGTTCCTGAATGAAGGCACGCTTGAATTGTGCTTGCTACGAGACCTCGTGAGCAGATGAGACACTACAGACCTGGATTGATCTCGGTGCTGATAAGTTGCAGCGAGATGTTCTGGCCGAACAAGTCTGAAGCGACATCCACCAGGTGAGCTCCTATGTCCGTTAAGTTGAGGAAGTTCTTCCTGTGTACAACGAGCGTGCCATCGAAACTTACTGTTTTTACCGTCGCCATTGCAGATGATCCCTCGAGAGCTTGCACGAGGTCGTTTTTAAAGTTCTTACGGGGGCGGCAGAGAAGTCTCAATGAAAGTCTCAACACGGTAAAGCAATAGGACTCTTTCTGCGGTCCCTTAACTCAGTTAGCGGTTGTTGCAGCTATGGACCACAAGAAATCACTCGTTTTGCCACGGTTGTTATATGTTTGTTTGTATCTTTCGTAAGGATTTTCATCACTGGCGACTAGCAGAGAGCGGCACGTCGGTTCCACCTCCCAATCCGAGAGGTAAGTCTATATACGCACTCTGAAAAACGCTGATTTTCTATTTTCTTGAGCAGCACATGAAGCACAATTCCTCGCCGGGTTTCAAAGTTGGTGTTTCGTGGAAATTCAGCCAGAGATATCCTTCAAATCTTCAAGGCTTTGAGGAAAATGGACAAAGTGGGCCTGACTCTCGGAGAGGGACGGACGATCAGGAAGTGTTTGTGGCTCTCATACAAGATGAGAAAGCGCGGAGGGGGAGTTAAATTCCTCGGTCAGCAAATGCCAGTCTTGGACGCGGAAATGCCGTTCAATCCATTCGTCAACCGGCACGTCTCCATCAGTAGCAACTACGAGCTCGCAAAGACGCTACTTTTGCTGCCACTCTTCGTCTTCCGGGTCTCCGTCTTTATCCTGCTGCTCGTCGTCGGCCTTGTCCTCACCAAGCTAGCTCTCCTCGGTGCTCGGGAAGTTCTCAATGCTCCACTGCCACTTTGGAGGCGCAAGCTTCTGTGGCCGGTCCGGTACCTTGCAAGATGCCTCCTCTTCTTCTGCGGTTACCACTGGATCGGCGTCAAAGGCAAGCCGGCCAGGAAAAGAGACGCTCCAGTTCTCGTTTGCAACCACGTAACTTTCGTGGATCCAGTCTACATCTTCTACAAGCACTTGCCGGTGATCGTCACGGCAGAGGAGAACCTCAACTATCCTTTCATGGGGACGATCATCAGTGCCATGCAGCCGATCACCATCCGGAGAGAGTCCCAGGAATCCAGAAACAAGGCCGCGGTTGAGATACGCAAGCGGGCAAAGTCTCTGGAGTGGAAGAACTCGCTTATGATCTTTCCGGAAGGGACGACCACAAACGGGAAAGCTATGGTGTCCTTCAAGAGTGGAGCGTTCTCTTCGAGCTCGCCCGTCCAGCCGATGGTGGTGAGATATCCCCACGTCCACTTGGACCCGTCCTGGGTGGCGGACGGGCCCTCGGCCTACGCGCTGCTCTTCCGGCTCATGACGCAGTTCCACAACTACATGGAGATCGAGTACCTCCCGGTGATGCGTCCCAGCAAGCAGGAGAACCCACGCAGCTTTGCCGAGCGCGTCCGGGCGGAGATGGCGCGAGCTCTCAACGTGGTGGTGACGGAGCACACCTTCGACGACGTGAGCATGGTGGACGCAGCTCGGGGTGCCTCCTCCAAGCTCGATCTTCTCGAGTTTGGGAGGTTCGAGAGGCTCTACAGGGTCACACCCAAGGAGGCCAAGCGTTTCTTCCGGAAGTTCCGGGCCCTGGACGTCCAGAGGAACGGTGTGGCGAGCGAGGAAGATCTGGCGGACTATCTGGATCTCCCGAGCTGCGAGGCAGTGAGCAAAGTCTACGACCTCTTCGACTCCAAAGGCTGTGGCTACTTCAACTTTCGCCAGTACGCGGCGGGGCTGCTGTTCATCTCGAGGCACGAGAGGTTCAGGGAGGCAGCCGAGGCGGTGTTTGAGAGGCTGGACAGGGACGGAGATGGTTTGCTGAGCTCGGGCGATTTCTCTGCCGGACTGACCGAACTGGTGCCGGGAACCAGCCGGGAACAGGCGAAGGCGCTGTGGGATAGGATCAACGCCAAGCAAGGGAGATTCGTCCACCGGATCGAGTTGCTTACGTTTCTGGACAGGAATCCAGAGTACGTAGCAGTGTTTTTGTTTGGCGCTCCGGGGTTGCTGTCGAATGTGAAGGCCGAGACAGCCATCCTGGAACCGAGCTCGACTGACCAAAAGAACTTTACTGGATCTACTACGGATGCTTCTCCAGGGCCATCAGTTTGAAGAACTTGGTTATCAGAGAAGAAACTCTGAGAGCTGGGATTAGAAAATCGTGTCATCACTGGCCCCAAAGATCTATGCTCTATCCAAAGGATGAAAGAAGAAACCATCAGTGCTTTGCCTCTATCAAAGAATGATCTCTGACCGCTGAGTTTGTAAGAAGCAAAATCCATCACTTGGCTACCCGAGACCCTAGCCGCCACACTAAATATCCTAGACCTAAACGAATATCCTTATTATAAGAGAATATCCTTTCCTTTATCCCACTAGCACGCATTTTGCTAGCAAGTTACATTTATTTCTATTCATTCTTGAAAAAGATAAAAACTATTATATTGATAAAAAAAGTTTAGAACAAAGCCCACATTTCTATGGATACACATAATAGGAGCTGTAAGAATTGGAGGGGGTGTAAGGGGTGTAGTAGGGGTACCACGGATCGAAAATCTCGGCATAGTAATTGAGGCTGGGATCGTAGTAATCGGCAGGCATCGAAAGCATGGGATCGTCACCCACCTCTGGCAGTATAGCAAAGCAACGTAAGAGGAGTGAGATTCGGAGAAGAATGGAAAGCGATGGAAACATACCCGAGTAATCTCTAGGCCAAGATGGCAAACGATAGTGCTTGAGGTGTTCTCGCGGCCGCCACTTTGCATCCAGGCACTTGCATCTGAATCCCTCGTAGTAGGCGACGTAGTTGTGGACTAGACACCGGCATCGCCACGAGAATGGCAGCGGCCTCAGGCCCTTGAGCAGCGAAATCTCGGAATGGAAGATGATCTCGGCTACCATCTGCCAAGCGAACAAGACAAGGGCTTAGAAAACGCGAGGGAGAAAAGCCCAGCAAGACGAAACCTGGGTGGCGGTTTCGTTGCGCTGCTCTTGATCGATGAGCTCCTGCTTGAGCCTGTATCCAAGGGTGAGAGGAACTGGCAAGGCGATCGCAAACGCACGGAAGAGAGGCCGGATGACACTGTCTCGCGGATGACTGATGTTGTCAATGCGATCCACGGCGAGAGCCAAGCCGTGGTAGAAGGTGGTGAGCTCGATGGAGCTATGGTGGATGTCGAGGTGCTGGTTTGGATTGGTGACGATCATCTGGACCTCACAGATGTAGTTTAGCTTGAAAGCGTAGTAGTTCCCTTTACCTTCCTCTTGCTGGCGCCGGATCACCTCGGGCTTCACCTCGGAGAGCCGCGAGATTCCCATGGAGACGGACTTGACATGGACGATCGGGAGCACTGGGCGCTCATGGAGCTGGACTCCCAGGAGGACGAGGCAGAGAACAAGGATAGCTGCGAGAAGGCTCCCTCCAACGATGGCTGCCGCGTAGAACAATCTGGTGCGCGTGATTGATGAGAATTTCTTGAATCTGCGAGACTCCATGAGGTTGAAGACGAGGAGGACCGGAAGATCGGGGCGGTCGCTGAGGCCAAGACCATGGTAAGGATCATAGTAGTCGTCTTCGTCCCAAAGATCTTGATCCGGGACGCCAGCATCGGCGCCGTCACTGCTGCTCGGTCCTAGATCTTGCCCCCGACTGGCGGCATCGGATCCACCTACCTGTAAATTCTGCTCGATGTCGAACGCTACTGCTCTCTTGGCGCCGATCTTCGGCGCTTGATCGTCCATCACTCCATCTCCCACTCGGCGCTTCCATGATCGAGCTCCCGAGAGACCTAACCCTTCGACCAAGAACCCTAAATCCCCAATCTAACGGCATAGATTCAAAGAGCTCCCGCCAATTCCGACGGCCTAGATAAGTTTCCATTCTCTAAAGCTACTTAGACAAGGATGTCGAGCCTGGGCTCAAAGGATATCCCATCGATGAGCCCATCGATGAGCCGCTCGTCCGGTAACGTACAGTCCGAAACCCTACTCCACTGCCGCTCGACCAGGTCGTACAGGAGCATCGGCATATCCCTCAGCCCGCCACCAATGTAGAGCAGCACCACATCGTTGGTCCCTACGCACATAAAATACGTACGATCTCCCAAAAACTCGTGGCACAAAGATTCCGGCATCTTGTCCACCTCCACCCACTCCATCCTCTCCACATTGAGCAGCCACACGCATATCGCGCTGGTAATATTCCCCTCCTGGAGCCCGCCCACCATCATGATCCTGCCCCGGGATTCCAGGATCGTGTTGCTCACCAGGGAATCCGGCGTGGGGGTCTGGATGAGGCTCCACGTGTCCTTGTACGTGTCGTAGGCGACAAGCCCGTCGGGGTCGCAGCACCACGAGTAGAGAACGCCGTTGCAAGTGATGGTACCGAGCAGCGGATCCGCACCGCGCGGCATGCTGCTCGTCATCCGCCACGTGTCGAGCCCGGACTCGTAGACCTCGGTGGTGATGTCGTCCACCGAGATCTCGTGGTTCCCCGCCACCACGACTTTGTAGAGGCCGGTCCCCTTGTCCACCACCATGCCGACCGTCTCTAGATAGGTCGGGTTGTTGTTCATTGGCGGGAGCTTGCGCCAGGTGGATGTGATGAGGTTGCACACCGCGAAGTGTTTTTGGCCGTCAGTGGAGGCGCAGAAGCAAATGAGGCCGCCGCCGGCGGCCACCGGGATGTAGCGCTCGTTCACCGGAAAACTGGGCAGTGGGATGTGGTGCCACGTGTTGGATATCGGGTTGAATGTGGAGCCGTCCTTGTAGTCATGGTTTGTGAACATGAAGAACCAGGGGCCCTGCGGCGAGATGGAGCTGTAAGATTCCAGGAATCCGTCGGAGCAAAGAAGGGATCTCCAGGCCCGGCATACGGTCCGGAATTTGAGGAGGCTCGGCAGCGGTAGCCGAAGCAAGACCCTCTCCAGGAGATGCTCTGGGAGTGTGCTCCACAGCAGGGAATCCATGGGCGTTTGATCCATTTGGTGGCGCCGCTGGTGCTGGGCGGTGCAGTAGGATCGCCGCCGCTGCCGGGTGCCATAGCTTCCCTGTCCAGGGTCTTCTTCCTCTTGATCCTCCTCTTCTTCCCCCTCGTCCTCCTCCTTTCCAGTGGCCATGGATTTTTTCACAGAGGCGCTTGCGCCCATTCATCCCTTCATCAAATGCGCGTCGATCGCCGTCACTTCCATCTCCATCTCTCCACTTTTTGATCCATCCGATCCACTCGATCGCTCAATCGCGGCTGGGCTTCCAAATCCCCAAATTGCTCGATCGAGAGAGGAACGACCAGCTATGGCGGAACGAAGGGGTTTCTCTGTCCGTGGACTAGGGCTTTTTAACGAACTGACACGTGTCCGAGTGAAACCAACGATATGCCACGTTAGCGGCGATATCTTTTATTTGCTGCTTTTCTATTTGTACAATATTCTTTTCCTATTTCATGCTCTACACGCCTTCGAAAATTTAGGGTTTATGGGTCGGGTGGGATCCTCGGCGCTGTCGCTGTCGTGTTCTTGGCAAAGATTTTAGGTCGAGGAGAGCGGATGTCCCGGTGGATCTAGGTCTGGATGATCCGCGGCTGAGGAGGCGCGGGGCGAGAAGCAAGGTATGGCAGGATCCAGGCTCCAGGGATCGCAAGTCTCCTCCAGCTCCTCCGCATTCTCGACGCCGCGGATTCTCATCCTCCTCACGCTGATGCCCCTGGGATTGGCTGCCTTCGCGTTCGTGCTGCAATGGCGGGGCGAGGTCACGGATCCGACTCGCCTGGGCGTCGATCGCTCCAGATTTCCAGGGTTTCCAGGGAGCTCCCCGATTGGGAGCACTAGTGGCGTCGACTGTGGTGGGCAGCAGCGAGGGCTCAGCGCTTTCATCCATCATCCGGGGTGGAAGTACGCGATCCCAGAGAATGGAAAGCCAAAGATTTGCGTGACAACCAGCACGGCCGGGGGTTTAGAACAGATCCTTCCATGGCTCTACTATCACAGGGTGATCGGTGTCACGAATTTTCTCCTCTTCGTGGAGGGGAAGGCTGCGACTCAAAACGTTACCGCGGTCCTGGAGAGCATCCCTGGCGTGAGGGTGGTGTATAGAACCAAGGAGCTGGAAGAACAGCAGGCCAGGAGTAGGATCTGGAACGAGACATGGCTCTCGAGCTTCTTCTTCCGGCCTTGCAACTACGAGCTCTTCGTCCGGCAGTCTCTCAACATGGAGATGGCGATCGTCATGGCCCGCGAGGCCGAGATGGACTGGATCATTCATCTCGACACGGACGAGCTCCTCTACCCGGCAGGATCGCCCGAGTACTCCCTCCGGAAGCTCCTGGGCGACGTTGCTCCGGAGGTGGACATGGTGATCTTCCCGAACTACGAGAGCGCCATCGAGCGAGACGACGTGGTGGATCCTTTCAGCGAGGTGACCATGTTCAAGAAGAACTACGATCACGTCACCAAGGAGACGTACTTCGGGCTCTACCGAGAAGCGACGCGGGGGAATCCAAACTACTTCCTCACGTATGGAAACGGCAAGGCCGCGGCCAGGATCCAAGACCATCTTCGTCCAAACGGAGCTCACCGGTGGCACAACTATCTCAAGGCGCCGAAGGAGCTCAAGTTCGAGGAGGCGGCTGTTCTTCACTACACGTACTCCAAGTTCTCGGACCTCACCTCCCGGCGCGATCGATGCGGGTGCAAGCCCACCAAGGACGACGTGAAGCGCTGCTTCATGCTCGAGTTCGATCGAGCAGCGTTCATCATCGCGTCCACGGCGACGCGGGAGGAGATGCTGCGGTGGTACCGCGAGCACGTCGTGTGGACGGACCGGGAGCTCAATCTCAAGCTCCTCCGGAAGGGACTGCTCACTCGGATCTACGCTCCGCAGCTCATCGTCCAGGGGCTGCGGCAGTCAGGGGTGCTCAACAACGCTCTAGCGGCGGGACAAGAACAGCTCGAGAGATTGAAGACGAGGGATAAGTTCCTCTCGGCGGTTTCCACCAGGAACTCTTCCTCCTCGGAGCTGGGATCGAAAGACAGCAAAGATGATCATCGCTTGGCCTCCTCGTCGAGGAGGCTCATGGATTTATCGAGCTTGAGTTCTTCGGCGATGGTGGTGGAGGATGATCCATTCGCAGCAGTGCCACCATTGCCACCTCCGGTACTTTTAAGTTCGATCGATCGATAAGTTTACTCACACTCGCAAACACTTACTTGTGCTTGTGAATTTTACTAGAGATGAACAAAGAAGAACACGCTGCTACCTTTTTTTCCAGAGCTCTCGATTCTTACAAGATCGATCAATGAAGTTTGTACTTTGATTGTTTTTTTTTCTGGATCTCACTTTACAACCATAGCTCGAGATGGGCTACTCGAAAGAATTGAAGGAATGAAAGAACGATGGAATGGGTTTCTTTCTTGCAAGAAACCTGGAGTGTTACTGTGGATCTATCGAAACCCCCGGAGCAAGAGAGCGGCCTTTCGATCGTCAGTGGATCTGAGCTCGAAGCTGCTGCTCCTGGAGATGGGCGGAGGGTGGGAAGAGCAAGAAGAGAGCGGCGACGCTGGCGGCGAGAGTGGGAGCGAGAGGCTCCTAGAGAGAATCCCTGGCGGCGGCTGGAAGAAAGAAGTGATGTCTTGGAGAGGGAATCGAGGGATCGGATCTGCCGATTCTTGCCACCAATGCGCCATCCCCGCGCCCGCGATTCTTACGCCGGCATTGGAGGACGCCGCTGCCTCCGCCGCGTTCTCACCCTGGCCGCCATCGTCCGTGTGGAAGACCTCGCCCTCGCCGAGCTCGCCATCGCTGCCAGGGATCGATCCGGAAGAGGAGGGCAGCATTGCCATGGCCATTGCCGATTCCTCGAGCGATCGAGCCTGAAAATCCCCAAACCAAGATCTGGCGCGCGCGCGCGATCGATCCACAAACGCGGGCCTTCGAAATGTGCCCCCCTCGCGAAATAAATCTGGCAAAACATAGCGCCAAGAGTTCAAAATTTTCGCGATCGATGGCGGCGATGGACGGCCAAGATTGGCGGGATTTTGAATTTGGAATCCCATGCGTTATGCGATTAGGGCTGACCCGGCCTGGTTTAAAAGCCAATTTTTTCCCTCCCATTTTTTGGTGGGCTAGGGTTTTCCAGGGATTTTGGAGCGAGGAAAGCACTTGCGCGCCAAGACGCCATCAAGAAAAGGTGTGTGTGGCTCCTCTCGCGGCCTCTCAATCGCCGCGTAGATCTGCTAGGCTTCATCGGGATCTAGATCTCTGCGATGGCGCGGCTTCGCAGGGCGACCGATTCCTGGTGTGAGCCCTTGCTAGAGCCCGAACAGTGCCCCTGCGAGCGCCTGCCAGATGTGGTCCTCTGCCGCATTTTCATGCTCTTGCCGCCTCGATTGGTCGCCAGGGTGTGCTCCTTCGTCTGCCGCTCCTGGCGAGATGTGTCACTGGATCCCTCTCTCTGGTCTTACTACTGCCAGAACACCGGGCTTCGTTCAGCTGACGAGATCAAGCTGAGTGGCGGCTGGAGAGCTCTTTTCATCGCGGTCTTTGGTCCCAATCTCGTTGGAAGCCCCTGTTTCAGACCCATCGAGCAGCTAGAGGTGGATCAAGCCAAGAGCAAAGCTCCCGGGCCTTGGGAGCCTAAGCACAGGGTCATACTGGACAGGATCGCGGTTCTCGACGACGTAGAAGAGAACTACCATAGCTACTCTCACTGGGGGGTGGAGGCTGGGTCGCAGTTCCATCGAGGTGGTGGCGATGGCGTGGTACGAGAGAATCCTCCAGTGGACTGCTCTCCTTGCCCGTCGGTTCCACTCGAGAGTGTGATCGCTACTTCGCATGATTGGGGACGACTCCAGCACTACATTGGCTTCCAGACTTTTTCCAACAAGTTCCTCGACCAGAGCCCGCCGTTTGTTCTCACTGCCTGGTTTGCGGCGCGGAGAGGATCGCCGGGGCTTTTCAGGATAAACTTGCTGCTCAGGGATGATCTCAAGAACTGCAAGAGTGTCTGGTATGTAGATGTTTTGTTTGCGTGTTTTATCTGACTTTTTCCTTGCTGGTTTCAGGGACTCTGGGATTATAAATGCGAAGGATGAGTGGCAACAAGCCAAGTTCATTATCAAGGACTACAACAAGGTTAGAACTTTAGCATTTGGTTCTCACAAATTTATTTTTCCTTTGGGAGCAGGGGGTGAGGTCCGTTATGGTGAAGCTTGCTGGGAAGTGCACGACCGGGGAACGGGGTTTCTACGGTACAAAATTTACGGACGTGAGGCTGCATTTTATCCCGATTTGTGAGGTGCGTAGTAGCTTTCCTTATCGTCTTCTCAAACGTTTTCTTTTGCTTTTCCAGATTAAAAACTATGCGGACTTTGACGAAGGTGTATTCTTAGATAGTGTTGCATAAATTTGCAACTTGCTACGGTCTGTTCGGCCAGGTTTCTTATTCACCCCCTTTCTTCTGTTTGTAATTGAAAAGGACACTGCAGATTATTTCTTGACGTTGCTTCTTAGCTCAGGTTCCTGCACTCGTATCAGGCCTGCTGCCAAAATTCTATGGCAGTACTGCTTTTCGCGGAGTGCCAGAGCATGCTTTTGCTTTTTTGTGTACCGTTTCGGTGCTTGATGCTCTTTCTCGCCAGCACTGACTGTTACAAAAGCTACAGTGGATTTCTATTCGGTAGATTATCAAGTAGAGGGGTTCTTACATTGGTATTTACAGATTTCTTCGTGGTTTAAGTCTTTCCACAGCGCAGAAAACTTGGACATCGAAGAAACTAAGCAAAGACAGCGAATTTTACCAGTAAGCATCTAAGCTTGTCCTCACGTCTAACGTGTTGTGCAGCAGGACTTTCTCTCCATCTCCTCAGAAGCCTCATCGTCTTCTAAACGGCAAAGCTTTCTTCATCGTCTTCTAAACGGCCAAGGAAAAACTCTGGAAGAACCTCTTGAAGACGACGACGATGGCGATGGCGCCGCCGAGGGGACCGGATTCCTCCCAACGTCATACCGGCAAACCGGGCACGTCCCATGGAGAGCCAGCCAGGGAAGTATACAGTCCTGGTGATAGACGTGCTTGCAAGGCATCTGTCTAACTTTGTTTCCCACAGCGTAGTCATCCTTGCAAACCGCGCAGCTCGAGAACTCGTCGTTGCGAAGATGATCTTTGGAGATCGTGATGGTCGGCATCGAGTCGATCTGCTGCCTGCTTGCCGGAGGAGCTCCGCCGCCGCCAGCGTCGAGCTCCATGAGCTGCTGTATCAGCCGCTCGAGTCCCATGCCGTCGGGTCCAAACCCAGGGGAAGGATCGCCGCCGTGGAAGTACCACCGTGGAGGCATATCCCCCCCGCGGAAGACCACCATGCCGCCGCCACCGCCACCGCCACCGCCGCCGCCGCCGCCGCCCCCGCGAGATGGGAAGAATGGCGAGTCGTCTATCTCGAGATCTTCCACCATGAAGTGCTGGAAGGGGTGGAAGGGGCGCGGCCGCGGCGAGTTCCTCCTCATGGCCGATGCTACTGCGTCAAAGATATCGAGGAGGTGTGGAGGATTTGACTCTGGAGACCATCTTGGAGCTGGAGCTTGCTCGAGGAAGCCGTCACCGCAGCAGGGGCAAGCTAGAGCAGTGCTCGGGGACTGTACGAAGACGATGTGCTCGCATTTGTGACACCAGAAGGAGCGAGATTCTTCCATGGAAGCTTGCTTTCTAGCAGGACTTTGGCTGCTCTTGTGAGAATTCTTCTAGTACCTGAATGTAAGAGAGAATTTGGAGCAGCAACTTGGAGTAAATAATCCAGCACTGGATCGAAACGTTGTTACCTGAGAAATAGGAGATACCCTCGGCGTGTCGGTTTGAGCATAGCTCTACCCGTGGGGGACGCGTATGGCGTGTCTGCCTAGAAGGCACTCGTCAAACAAAGAAAAAGTTATAATAAGAACGACCCACCAAAAGGAAGGAGAAAATTATCAAAAACGAGAGAGGACGAATGCGCACCTCGAAGGTCCTGTAGCGAGGGAGACGAAAGAAGAAAAAGATAAAAGCTCGCCTAGCATCGCCATTGTCGGTCCCATTGATGAGTCAGAGCTGGCGTAATCGGATTAGCAAAATCAATCCTAGCTACAAGAGAGGAGAAAAATCAAGGAAAAATCAAGAACTTATCCATACGTACAATGTTGTACACGAAAACACTGACCAAAACAGTGATCAATCTCTGCAACTTTTAAGTGCCCGTGAGATCCAGAAGGAAAAAAAAAAACTCTCCTCTCAAAACTTGAGAGAGCTTACTTCTGGGAAGAGACTCCGGTGTTTTTGAGAAGCTCCCATCCAGCGTCAGGGAAGATCTTCCGGCAGTGGCACCATCTGGGCTCCGTATACCTCCATGGTCGATGGATTCTGGAGGAAAACCACTGCTCCACACTTGGTCCGGTTGAAAGTGTCCCAGAGCGGAAGCTTGAAGTGTTCCCGGACAGTCTTCCGGGCGGGCCAGTCGTGTAGAGTCGCTGCTTTGGCAATGCTTCTCACCACGAAGTCGTTTGTGAGGATCCGGCCCTTGTTCTCGCCCTTTTGGCAGTTGGTCACCAGGCCATTCTCGTAGAGCGCCACCATTATGTCTAGCGTGAACTTGTCAACCTTGAACTTGATGATGGCTTCCATTGTCGTGTCTAAGACGCGCTCTGGCTCGGTTTCGAGCTTGAAGGAGATCTGCAAGAGGAAGTTCTTGAAACTATAAGCGAGAAAAAACTAAAACTTGCTGGAAGTTTGAATCATGCGGGAGAAATTCTCGGATCTAGACGACAAGAATCTGTTTGGTTCAACCAAAGACAGGACCAGCGGGAGAAATTCCTGGCAATGAAAGTCACATCCTCACAGACCTTCACAGAACACGACGAAGTCACAAGAAAACACGCAATGAAAACCAGGAGAGAAAGCAGCAAATTCTCGTGGATCGAGCAAGATCACATGGACGACAAACACGAAAAGCACGAAAAGGACCAAAAAACAAGACGAGGAAGAGAGAAACTTACAGTGATGTCTGGCGCAGCAAATCTGGGAGCTTGATGGATGAGCGCTAGAATGGGCTCCAAGCTGGAAGCAATGCAGTGGGATCGCCCTTGGACAACCACCTCTGGAGTGTAAATGCTGTCCTGCTGGAGAGCCTGCCCATAATTCCTCTGCCGTAGCGTCCAAGTGCTGTTAGCGAATGGATCCTTCCATCCCATGAAGTCCCAGTACTCGACGTGAAAGCCAAGGACAACGATGGGCACCTCCAGCGCCACATCCGAGGATTTGGCTTGCCCAAGCTGCGAGATCAAGAGATCTGCCGGAGGACACGAACTACAGCCCTGGGATGTGAAGAGTTCCACCAGCACGGCGCTCTGGGAGGATCCTCCCCCTACCTTGGGGCCACGCGGCGCAGAGGATTTCTTGCTCTCCGGATCCAGCTGCTGCGGCTCCTCCTCATCAAGCTCCTCGATTTCCTTGGCGTCGGGATTGCTGTCTACCTTTGGGGATCTGTCGCAGGAAGCTCCGGCCCTAGAGAAGCAAGCGATGCAGCGGCGAAGCATGATCTAGATCTTGCGCTCCACGGCGGCGGAGCTGAGCACGGGGAAATTCCACACAGATCGATTGGAGATTGCCGCATTCCAGTGGTGGAGAATCCCTCGCTGCCCCCCAGAATATATTTTAGGGTTCTTGGCGCGCGAGGATTTTGGTGTCGAGAGGGGAGAAATTGAAGGAACCGCACCATGACGTGTGTCATGAACGTCACACCCGTCAAATTTTAAGAGCATATTTTAAAATATTCTTAATTAAAGCAACGAAAAGAAAAAGTCCATGACCTCGTCACACGAATCCCCTCCTCTGTCCTGGCAAAGGAACTCCCAAGCAAATTCGCGAGCAATTCCATGGATCAGATTTGTCTATTTCATTCATTCGATCCCTTCCTGCTAGGCGATGGATTGAGCCCTAATCTCGTGGTCCGATCAAAGCTCTTTGCCAGCAGGTAGATTAATCGAACACACAGCTCTAGATTACAACTTGAGGAGTAAACTAGTCGAAAAATGTCAACAATTTCAAACCAAAATTATAAACCATTTAGATGCATTCCCCCTCTTTTTTGAATGAAATATCACCTTCATACTAAAGCTACCATCCTGTAAATCCCATGTAATTCTAATTCTTTCACCGTGGCTTTCTTCTTGCAACTTTTGTCCAAGTTTCTGTCGAGCCTTGTGAACCCCTCTAAGACAAGCAGTGCCATGTAGTTGAAACTGTTTTGTGAATTGCTTTTGTCAACAAATTAGCAATAGCCCAACCAATTCTGAATGAAGTAAGGATTGTTGATGGATTTTCTCAATCAAACACAAAAGATTTACTGATTTGAATAATTCTACTATACATTGTGAATGCTAAATAAAACTCCTTTGGCATTACAGAGACTCTAGTATTTCAATGCAATTTATTTATAGGATATAAGCTTTTATTTAATTTATTTTTGTGCATAATAATAAAAGAGGAGGAAATAAAAAATTAACTTAGAATATTTAATTAGTTTACAATAAAATATTAGTACTATCTACAAGTATAAAATAAAATTTAAATCAACCACTTAGACTGATGCTTTTTAAAATAAAATAAAGCTAATAAACATACTATATTTCTCATACTTAAGGTTTTCATATCAGATGAATTAATTATTTTTAAGTTTTTAATTATAGTAAAAGTTATTCAGTTTGTCTTCTATATACTAAATAGAGTACTAGATATTTTACCATGACAATATAAATTATATTATTTGTGAAGAGTGGAATGTCATCTCCAAGTTTTTATACTAACATAAAGTTTTACCAAACCATCTTTTACTCTATTTTATATATGCAAGCCTTTTATATTAGTTTTTTTTGTCAGTTATTTTTTTTTCCTGTGAATACTATGAAACTAGAAAATGGGCAATGTTTGATAAGAAAGCCCTTACTAACTATTTTATCCACATTTATCCCCAACATTAAATGGATCTATAATGATAGTATGTCAAAATTTTATCTCATTATTACATACACTACATTTGTGAAAATAGCCACAAATCATAGTTAGAAGGAATTACAAAACAAGTGGTAGTCACAATAATAAAATTCACAAAATAAACATTTTATAACCACTCTGTTAATCCAATCGATATCACTTCACTTTAATATCCACTCTTGCAACCATTATATACACTACTCCACCTCCTATACTTCAGTTTCATAAGCATAGGATAGGCATTAATTATGTAACTGTAAAACATTGGCTATATCTACCATCATCACTATTACTATTTAACATGTCAATCCATCAACAAGATTTAGGGTTTTAGTATTTAGCTAGGGTTTACAATTAGTGAGACTCCACATAAAAAATTACTACGAGATAAGAATATATAAAGCCATATATAAAAATGTGATTGCATGGCCGAATTGTAGCGCACGTGGTTTTGACCCTTTATCCTATGGTGATTTACCATAGGATAACACCACGAAGCGGAACCTAAACCCTCTTTGTGCCACGTGACAGATGCCACGTGTCACATGCCACGTGTCCATGCCATGTGTCCATAGGAACCCGAGGTTCAGGGTCTCGGGCCACTGAACGAAGGAACGGTGCCAAACTCCCAAGCGTGACGCCAAGGAGTGATGGAACCGGACCACGGAGCAACTACCGAGCATATAGCCCAAGGAGCGAAGGGACAGGAGCCCGGAGCGACTTGGAACAGTCCTGGAGCAACCAGCATACCAATGCCAGGACCAGCACGCAAAACGGAGCCAAACGGAGTCTGGTGCTATTTCGGCATACCGGTGGCCTAACGTGAGGATATGGGTACTCCACCAGCTAGCATGGAATGGAACTTGGGCTTAGACCCAAGCCGGACGCAGAACAAGGACAGGCACGCAAGCGGGAGCTAGACTATGCCTCAGGTTGGTCGGCCATGCCCGACCTACCCACTATCCCTACTATACATTTGGAACCCCCCATAGCCCCCCCCCCCTTGAGGAACACACGCTTTGGGCTTTCACCCCAAGCCTCCCTTAGTATCAGGAGTTAGTCTCTAGGACAAGTTCGAAACTTACTAAATATGGAATGTCCTTAGATTGCGAAATTGGACACGGGACGAACACCGTTGTGTTCAGGCCGATCTCTACATTCCGTAGATGTGCCAAATGAGCAAATCTGGACACTTTCCATAAATAGCATTTGGGATTAAAATGAGACTAACACAAAGGGCATGATAGCGAGGGTGTTTGGTAGACACGGTAAGCTATCATGTAGCGATATTGAGGGACCAATCTCAATACGCGAGGGTTCTTGTCAAGCCAGTGCAAGATAGAGCAAAAGAGAACTAACAAGCCGGGCCGAGTATGCTCAGCTAAATAGACACTTAGGAATTCCTTCCTTATGCTCATCCGGCCAAGTACAGATGCAAAGTCCAGTTTACTAACACTTGAACAAGAGGGACTAATAAAGGGTCCAGCAATACCGACCTCCTGCCATCGTGGCAGTAAGGTAAGAGTGTCCGTAAGGACTGGCCGACAGGTAACTTTCGATACCTGAAGTCACATTCACGACACTCTCCCCCCCTTGGGAAGATCGACGTCCTCGTCGATGCATACTCCAGTCTAGAATACCGCCAAGGAAACAACTCTCGAAAAAGTTCACGGTACTCACACTATATGAGAAATGCACCAACTTAAATGAGTTAGGGAGCAACCTCTTTGTCTAACGCGGATGCGCTACCAGCTCAGACACCTTTTGGCCGTCACCGACAAGGAAATGACCAACGGAGTCAGCCACCCTTGCTGCTCTGGGTGTCACCCAGCTACAAAAGTGTGATATGCCCTGCCCGCAGGAACATAGAGAAAGAAGCCAGAGGCCCCAACCCTCCTGAGCAAAGAAACCAAACCCGTCGGTAAGGTTTAGATAGACTACTGTCAACAGGCAGTGTAGAGTTGTTTACACGGTCACGCCCTTTCACAGAATAAGGAACATCGACAGAGAGGCGGGTTATGTGACCAGTCGACAGTAGCTACCCCATGACTAGAGATTTCAACATGCACACGAAGTGCCAAAGCCA